TCTCATGCTCATGTCATCCTGGGAGTTGTGTTGTTGATGGCAACAACTTCTTGTCGAATCCCAAGGTAAATTGGTCCCAGGTGAGAATTCAGGCTCGGAGAACAGCATCCTAGTATCCTAGGATTTATGAAATATATATAAAATAAAATAAAAAAAAACAGCCTTGCCTGGACAGAGAGACTGATTTAGGCTCTATGGTTGTTCCCAGGGACTTCAGCACTCACTTGGGCAAGATCTGGATAAAGACAACAGGCAAATGACATGGTAATCTTAATATGAATGGTCTTTTTGTACAATGACTTCAACCCCAATCAGAAAGCATTGGGAATATGACTTTTCATAACTGTATTTAACAACAGAGCATCTAAAATTTGTGTCAGCAATTTTATCATTTATCAAAAACTAAAAAGGTCAATTATTGTATGGACTCTGTTTGCCAGACTGAAACCCCAAAATCCTACTTATTGGGCTTAAATAAAAAAACATCAAAAAACATCTAATACAAAAAATGAAGATTTCTAATGCAGAGATGGCAGCTCTAAGTTGTGGCCTATAATAAACTGGTGCTGCTGAGACACCCACCCAAATTAGTGTGTTAAGCCTTAGCTTGAAACTACACAGGGCTTTCTCATTCCCTATTAAGAAGCACTATGGTGCCAGTTGAGTCATATAGAGTATATGATTTTTATTGCATCCTTCAAAATACCATTTTAACCATCCTGGGTCATTGATATGAGTCATCTAAGTTGAAACTGACAAATCATTGTTGTCATGCATCAGGCTCAGCTGGTTCCCAGGATGTGCTTCTTCACCAATTCTGCTTCAGATTTTCTTGAATAGAGTTCTGAAGGTCAAGCAGAGAGGCTGAGAGTGCAGTGACCTTTGGATTGCATATGTGCTTTTCGCAAATGATGTGGTCCTGCTAGCCTCATACGCTAAAGCAATCTACAGCCAAGTGGAAAGCAGCTCAGAATAGAGTCAGCATCCTGCAAGTCTGAGGCCACGATACTCTGACATGGTCTCTGGAAAGCATGCAAGTTCAGTTCCCAAGTGATGAAGCTTACAAGAGTTAATTCCTGGCAATTGTTGGCATTTATAAAAGTCAAGTGAAATACTGGGAATGTAGCCAGATTTCTCTTCATCAACTTTTACACAGTTTTTCACTATCACAAATTTTTTGTAAGTCAGACACTGACCACTTTCTGATTTTGATATCAATATTTTTTTTCTACAATGAATGTTCAGTAAATAGGATTAATAATTTTTTGGAAGCTTGTTTTTGTCACTGCACATTCAGTATACCTCCCTCATAAATAACATGGTCTTTCCTGAACAAAGATTAATGCACAAAGGTACAAGATTTGGCTGGATTAGAATTACACTTTAATTTTTTGGTAATTGGATTGAACTTATTTAAAAAAAACTCTCTGGCTTTTTACTCACAAAGGAACCGATAAAATTATATGATTATAATGTTTCTAAAAAAAAAAAACACACATTTTTTTTGTTAAGTCAGCGAACACTAGAGGGCACCAGAGTCTATTTTTTTTTATTATTATTATTTTTTAAATCTATCAATAGATAACCTCTTGGGACACCAGAGGGGGACCTATGTGATCTTGATTGAATTAAAACAAAAACAGCTGTTTGTATATTTAGATGCTTGTTCAAGTATCTAATTAATAAACTATTACTGAAAATCATTTAATGGGCTTTTGTGTTGATAAATCAGAGTTTGTTTTAAATATCAACAACATATCACAAGCTGTGGTTAAAAGTGTACACTGAAACGATGGCTGTGAAGCCTGCAGGGGGTTCAGTGTTTCAGAAAACAGAAGAACGGGGACCTCCTGAATGAATTACTGCTTTTCCTCTCTCTTAACCTTTGACCCCGTGGGCATATCTTCATTTTATTGACATATTCATCTCAGGGTTGTGACACCTGGTGTCTTCTGTGAGATTTAAGGCAACGCATGCCCCCTGCCTGCACCTATACAAACTCGTATTGTTTATTTATTTATTTTTTAAATCAATTTTATGCAATGAGATAAGACTTGTGGAAGGTTATAGCATTATTTTTATGACCCGAGTCAAGATGTACATCAGAAACGACACATACGCATTAGATTAGATGGATTAAATACAACTTTATTTATCCTTTTGGGAAGATTCCCTCAAGAAAAAAAGTATGCTAAATTCTCAAAATGTCGCTCTACTGGTGTATTAATGAGGCAACATGCTCTCGGCCTAAGACCAGCTGAGCTATGGCAACCGGTCACATGCTTTGTATTGTGTACTTATACGTGGATTATATTTCTAAGGGATTTTTCTGCAAATGCTCTGAGGGAATTGTTCTCCAATCCCTTTTTAAATGGCATAATATTAGTAGCTTAACCAAAAGTACCAGAAGAAAAAGTCAGGAGAGGCTTAAAGCCTTATTGCCGGCCTGATTGTTATTTTTATTTGAGAGGGGGATTCTTGTCATTGAGGGATTTTCTGCTTTGTCATTTTGTACAGGATTTCCCTCCTCTGGGTGAAGCGCACTCCTATTTGCTTCTGCTAAGCAACTTCCTCCTTCAAAGGCTGCTCAAACAATACACCCAGCACAGATGGCTCTCAATTTGAGGAATTCCTGCTGTGGCAGGAAACTCTTTGGTGGTATTTATAAGTGAAACAAATGAATGAAAAACAAAAGTAGATTAACAAACCTTGGCAAATAGATTAGCTCACCAACATTATGTAGTCTCCATTCACACAAATCTTTGTTTCCTCTCTCAGATTCCTAACATATGATCTACAAAAAGGGGGTTACCTCACCACCAGTATGCAAAACATTTTGTTTAGGTCAGTCATATTTTTACAATCAACAAAAGGTGTTTTGATTATTTATTGATTATTATATATTACATCTTTTGTTACATTAAACTCACAACTTATCTGTTTCTTTTATTTAAGTTGGTGATTAGCCATGGAAATGTTCCCTGCTCCCTATTGTTATTTGATTATATTACAGTGTGACAAAGATAGACCTATCAGTGTCTAATGCAGCGGCTCCAGGAATTAGGCTACTCTAGTTAAAAACTGGGTTAAACCATCCCAAGTCCGCCATATTCCTGTTTGCCCTGCTTTTAAAAAAGCTGCAGTGACAGAGAGGTTCAGGTCTGTGCTCTGCTCTGCTGTGAAGCCGGTAGGTAAAAAGCCTGAGAGGGAATCATGGTGAGTTTTTACCAGAACGTCAACAGATGGTAATGAAAACTGGCACTGCCCTGTAAGACCCAGACTCACAATTTTGGAAGAGTGAAGTCAGCCCCCACAAAATTGTCTTCATCTTAACATCAAACACAAAATACAGCTTCATTTGCTGCTTATTTCAGCACAGAGATAGGCATTCATGTCTTGGGAGACTGTGGGTGAATATTTGTTGTCCATCTTATGTGTACTATTCTGTTTAATGGCACTATATTCAACACACTGCACCTTTAAATTTGTGTATTTAAAAAATAATTATAATAATAATAGCAGCAGACATATCCAGTCCCGTCCCTTGTTGGACCAGTATCATCTGTAAGTGTTTTTTTCAAAAAGCTATTTTTTTGGTTGTTGACACTTTAATTTAGTTTTGTAACTTAATACTAGCTGTGGTAGCCAATTCATGTCAGCTAACAATGTGCTATGATGCTAATGCTACATGTCTTTGACAGTTTAGCCAAATAAGTGTTGGGCTAACATTAGTAGATTAGTACATTTTTCATTTGTGCTTGTTACTTTGAGTTAAAGGAGTTTGTAAAAAAAAAAAAACTGTTACTGAGATTCAGTTTTGAACTTATAACAAAAGTCGGTTTGTTTCTTCCACATACAATGGTCAGTATATGCAGCTAGCTTGTGCAAATACAGCTAATAGTTGCTGGGCTGCCTATATTGTCCATCTAATTTGTTAGATAAGTATTGTGCACTAAAGTGACATGTATTTTTCAAAGCCGTAGTTGTTTTAGCTTTTCTTTTCCAGGCCAAGTCTTTTATTTTAACCTTGCACAGTGAGGGCACACAACAATTTACCATTACTATTTTAGTTCTAGCATAAAGCCACCATACTCAATAACAACTATGAAAAAGCACACAATGTAATATCCCATATGACTGATTTTACAGAGCATCTGCTCAGTAGAAGTAGAAAATTTAATCAAAATTAAATTGTATTTTTTTGCACATTAAATGGATGTTTCTTCATGGAAATGCAATCAGACCGAGATGCTAAGGCAGAAGAACTACCGCGTCTGCAGTGCAAAATGATTAATATGGTGATTATTATGTTAAGGAAATGATAAAGAAATGATCATAAATGTTCTTCCTTGAGCTGTGTCACCCCGCAGCAGTCTGTAGTGGACTGGCCTGAGGTCTCGCTACAAACAAGCGGCTGCTGGAAGAGAGTAGGTGAGTTGTGTTTAGTCTCTTTGCTAAAGAAATTAGGCAAAGTTAAAAAGATGTTTGGTGGCTAGTACTATGGCTGGGACCCTATGTGTACTGTTGATGAAGTTAGGTGCTGTTCTGAGCATTATTTGTGGCTACAGAGTGACGTTTTGGTTGAGGTTTGTGTGTGGCTGCTTAGACCGCTGTGTATTGCTATCGTGTGGTCGTTACTAAAGTTGGTATAACTAGAGAAGCAAGCAGTCAGCAACATTCATCCCTCGAAGGGGTGTCTAAACTCTGTGTTACGATGTGTTTGACCCTAACTTATTTTACACCAGAATATCCCTTTAATTTTCATGTTATGCTATAACCTCTATTTTTTTCTACCTATACCTTACAGACACGGTGTATGCAGGTTTGTAAAAACAGAAAAATTTCTGTCCAGTTTTTCAGTTTTAATTCATTGAAGGGTATTTAGAGTGGGCGTCAGTTCAATTGTTTTCAGATCCTGAATACATTAACAGAACAATAGAGAGCATTAGGACCCTGAGGCGGAAAAGGCTTCCTCCTCTCTCATTATCCATTGATTTGACAGCTTGAGCTGCCGACCAGTCAGAGGGAGGATGTGAAGTGGAGAAGGAGGCGGCTTGCGGGACTATTTTTCGTTACGCCGAAGTTTTGTTAAAATGTCTTGGTTGTTTAAAAGCTAAGGGCAAGTCTAATGCAATGTCTGTCAAACCGAGCTGCTCATCATTCAACACAATTGCCACCGGATAACACGGAGTTTGGATTACACAGTGCCTGCTGTGTTTGCGTGGATGGACAAATCGATTTAGATGATCTGTCAGGACCGGATTCACTCTCCGTGGACTTTGATTATTTCTCGATTTAGGGCTTTTTCTGTGGGAGCTTTGTTTTGACTAGCCGGTGCAGCTAGTCTCTCTTTGGACTAGAGGTGGAGACCAGAGACGCACACGTGTTATCCTACTTTCTACGGGTGGGACGCAGTGATCCTTCACCACTCTCTGGATAAAAGTTGTTTTTTTTTCAGTCAGTGTTTTGTTTGCAGCTGAATGAAAAAAGGCAGAAACATGTCGCTCAGCAGAAGTATTGAATTTGAGCACTTTGAGGAACGAGAGAAGCCGCACCGGACACCGAGAGCCAACTCTGGCTCCGGGTCCCACTCAGGCAGCAGAGGCAACGGGTTGGTCCCCAGCCCGGCGCACAGTGCGCACTGTAGCTTCTACCGCACACGCACACTGCAGTCCCTCACCTCCGAGAAAAAAGCCAGAAAAGTGCGCTTTTACCGCAATGGGGACAAATACTTCAAAGGTCTGGTGTATGCAGTGTCAAACGACCGCTTTAGGTCTCTGGATGCTCTGCTTATGGAGCTCACAAGGTCTCTGTCAGACAACGTCAACCTTCCTCAAGGTGTCCGGGTCTTGTACACAGTGGATGGAGGCAGGAGGATCACCGGTCTGGATGACTTAGTAGAGGGTAAGGGTGATGATCGACGTTGCAACAACTAATTGTGACCACAAATCACTAAGTAGGGGGTCAATACTTGTTCATATCGGTGATGGATAATGTGCATTGATTTTTATAAAAGCTAGGTTTTGCTTTGAGTGTTGGCTGAATGCTACATCAAAAAGAATTACTATACAGGAGCCTGGGGCAGAAGTTTAAAAGGTCACTCAGTCAGAGGAGTTCTGCTTTTCATGGCTTGCACCTAATATTTCCAGAGGCTGTCTACCAATCAGAAAAGTTCACCCTGTCTGACCAAGGTTGCTCCTTTTTATGCAGAGATCTGCTGTGCTTTTACCCTCAGAGGACCAACAGTAAAATTGATGCAATGCAGAGAATCATTCACATCATCTGCATCACTGACATAACTGATCTGACATGTTTGACCCAGTGCCATGCATGCTAGAAGCAGACCTCTTTTGCTCCTCCTTACAGTCTTATGCTAATGTGCGTCAGCATTGATCTGACTATTTTTTCAGTCTCTCTCCTTTCAAGCATGTATTAGTGAGCTGAGTTTGTGTGGGCTTGAAAGTGCATTATGTACCTTTTTAAGTGCAGATGAATGTGTGTGTTGTTGGAGGGTCGATTGGCTGTTAAAGTCTTGTTAAAATGATCTCCCCTTTGGGGCTTTAAAGATGGGAGTTTCCACTTCCATTCCACTATCCTTGCATCACTCGCATTACAAGAGGTGAATAATGAGGTTAAACACAGGAAATGTCATTATAATTCAGAAGGTAATACAATAAAGCCAACATTTATGATCTGTAACTTAAATTATGAAGTTAAATCTGCTTTCTTGAGCTGTATGATTAGTTTAGTATTTGTTGTAAGAGGATTGAAAAACGGATGCAATGTGACCTTCCTGCAGTCCTCTTTTAATGTGACACTGTCATGCAAACTCAGAATCCGTTGACCTCTACTGCATGTACTTTTTTCATATACTGCTCTATTTTTGTCTCTCATCCTCCTAAAACTTAAAAAATATCACACTGATTCCCTCTGCCCCTCTTCCCCCAAGTGACTCCAGAAGATTTAGGCCAGTGCCTGATCTGAATTTTGTAGCATCCCCAGTTGCAAGTTGTGCTGAAGTTGTTTTGATGCATTGAATTGAGAGCAAAGCACTACAACTGCACTTCTGCACCATAACAGGTGAGGCATAGTGGCTGATTAAGAATGTAATACATCATTCTACATAACTGCATTTAAACTTTTGAAAAATCGTCTTACAGTGTCAATACCAATATTTAAACCCTCACAGTACCAACTTTCCTATTAAAGAATATTCCTGAAATTACTATTCCTGCTTGAAATCAATATGAAAAGTTCTCAGTGGGGTTTTTCTTAGAGAAGTTGGTAGAAATTTCCTTAATGATATTTAAAGCATTAAAACTACCTCAAACTATGTTTTCCCCAAAGAAAAAACCCTGTGCTGTGGATGAGTCACTGACCCTACTGTGCATCATTTTCACCATCTTGCCTTTTTTCAGATATTCATCTCTAAAAATAATCTCAAATATCGTCTCCTGTGCTTTTAAAGTGAGGAAATGTTGTTTAATACCTTAAGTTACTCATTTTAAATTCAAAGCAATCTAATTTCTCTATGAAAGTCAATAAAATAAACCCAGATTTGATATGTTTCTGCAGATGGGCTGAGCATCAGTGTCTTATCCTTGTTTACTCACCCATCTAATGGAAAGAGCCAGGGAACATTACTGCACAGCTCAGCAGTCTGCCTCCATTGATTGAGGCCTGCTGAGCTCTTTTGTGTGGAAACCCAATAAGCACCTCTCACATGTGCTCCCCGTATGGCTGGATGGGATTACTGAGCCAACCAGTCAACTTACACAGACTCTCCATATTGTGGGTGAAAGCTTCGGTGAGCCACGCTGAGAGCAGGTGTGAGTTGCATGTGTTCATTTGTACCACACAGCAAAAAAAAGTTCTTCTCCCTGGTGCCAAGTTTTTTTTTTTTGTTTGTTTTGTTTTGTTTTACTTTTTAGGAGTTTTCAGCCTGTTTTGGCTCATTTTGGCTGTTTGTGTTGTTTCTCCCCGAAACCATCCATTGACCAAGCAGTGCAAGAATCTGTCCATATCTGATTGATCAGACCTGTTCTTGGCGAAGAATATCAAAGCTAGTGAAGCTCTGCTGACTCAGGCACACTGTTGGTCTCTTGGTGAAAAAAAAATAAACCTCCTGCTGGTTGTAGAGATAATTGATAGTCAACTTCTTAAAAATCCAAACCCCATATTCAGGTAGAAGTTGCAAAAGTAGAGCTCAACAGAAACAGCCTTCAAAATAGTAAAGCTGATCAGCCTGAGCTGGCAAGAAAAATCCCCTTTGAACTTTTGTGCTTGTGGGAAAAAACAAGGAATGTATTAGGTATTAATCTGAGTTCAGAAAGAGCATTGTGGAGTTTACTTTGCTGAGGGAGAACATGGCATACTGAAATAGAAGTTCTGATGTGCTGAATGACGAGTGTAAAAGCCAGTTGGTTTATTAATGCCATCCTGTGAAATAAACTGAGTTAGGTTTGAAAGTGGACAATATTTAAAGACTATAAAACATCAGGGATGTCGTGTATTCTTTGGCATTAATAAATTTGTGATGTACTCAGACATAATGCAGCATAGGTGTAGTTTTGAATGTTTTCAAGTTCCTGTGAAAACAGTATTGCTTTATTTGATCGCCCCGGGGTAGCATGCTAACAGTGAATTGGTTTTAAGGGTAAAAAGGGAATCATAGACACATTGGTTGATTTAATTACATTATTCTGCTTTAATTTAAGTTTGATTTGTGTTGATCTCCATCCTTGCCCCTCACACTCTCAGTGTGTTACAAGTTTGTTTCCAAGTCTTTGCAGGGATAACCTTTATGACAAACTTTACTAGGTGATGTACAAAGGTCAACAAGAACATTTGTAACAAAACTAATGATTATACTGTGATTTTTAATGCCTGAAAGTACTGAACTGAACTACTTAATCATTTAGGTCGAGACAAGCAAAGACTGCTTCATCCACAGGGGGCGCCAAAACTGATACAAACTGAAATTTCCTCTTAGGAAACTGTTTTCTGAAGCTGTATGAAATTTTCACACATTAAAAATTATCTTTTGTAGTGTGCTCCTTTAAAACTTTGAAATCTGTGATGCCTGTTGACGTTTTACTCACATATTGGAGTTCTCCAGTCTGGCATTGCTAAAAGACCGTATCAGTTCAAAGCACCAGTCGTCCAGTTTTTGTCACAGTCAGTACATGTGTGTTTGATAGTTTCCTTCTTCTGCACATGGACTTTACATTTTTCACCAATGATTTGTATATTCCAGATGTGTTTCATAATTTTTGAAACCATGCCTTTCAAAATTATATAAGTGTATTGGTAGTGTAACTGTCTCTGTGTCTAGTTTTATTCTTGTGGAAGCACAGCTGGTGGATGTTGGCAACCAAATTTCACCGTGCTTGCACTTGCATTGCAAATATGACAACAAAAACACTGAGACCTTGAAAATTTTGATTCATTGCCCAAAGAGTTTTCAGATACTACTTTGTTTTAATTATCTTTGATTTAGAAATGATCAGTTTTGGATGTTTTAGCTCCAGGGTTGTGGCTGAATCTCTGTCGGTATGACAAGCACAGTTTTTATTTTTGCTGTGTTATCACTGATGGTGTTTCTTTAAAGGAGAACAAACAGGACATTGGAAGTATGACATTTAGTTCCAGGTTTTACTTATCAGCATGTACAGTAATGCACAGTAATGCAGAAATGTGCTGGTCATACAGTCCCCATCCCTTTGCTCCAAAGTTGTGAGTATAAGCTTTCAAAATAGAGCCCGCTCCTTGTTGAGAATATCATCGCCTCACAGAGGTCGTGTCATTGTTTTGTTGGTGATACATTTGTGTTGTGCTGATTTTAACACTGTTGTACATTTCCCATTTACTTCCATGGCTCGGGTTTTGGTGACATCTGTGCCACCACTGCAGCTGCACCGGTTAGAGAGCTCTATTAATGTTGACCTCAGCTGTCGTCCACATGAGGACAGCGGGTGGCTGCGTGATTGGGACCGCCTTCACATCACAGACGGATGTTGCACCTGAGAACCTTGCACCTCGGGGAATACTTGTCACCGGCCACCTTCTGAGGGCATTTTAAGTATACTGCCACTGTCCTGTCAGATGAATGGCGGCCCCATATTTTGTTTTCGTTTTCAGACATGGCTAAGTCCCCCCAGCTGTGGCCCAGCCTTTTAATTAGCCTTTGGTTAATTGCAAGTCTAATAAAACCAGCTGCCATGGGATATGCTGTCTCACTTAGCCTCCTTTTTCTGCTGCTCCATTCGTTTGTCTTGTCACATGTATGATAAAAAAAAAAAGATACTGAAAGAACTTTTTGAAGTATTTTCGCTGACAAAGGAGAGAGATGTGCTGGAAAAGAATTTAGAGTAACATAGCCGATATAATTTCATGATGTGTCATACATGCATGGATACTTTTGTAATGGATGTGGTGTGAAAGGAAATTCTCAGTAACTTTCTCTACTTTCACTCACATTTGAATTTCTCATCCAGCACTCGGCCTCCAAAGCAATCCCCAGACATTCTTACCGTGGTTTCCTTTTACCGGCCAAGCCCATGCACTTGTCACATGACTTTCTTTCTTGAGGGGAAACATTTGCGTGTTAACTGTTGGAAAGGAATGCAGGCAGATAAAACAAAATGCTTTGCCTTGGAGGATGGCCAATGCAGCAGCTCGCCAGCTGAAAAGGGAGAGAGGACAGTGTAACACTGGCCTGGCCTCTCAATGTGCCTTTTTGTCTCAGCTGAGGAATGTTAACTCTTTGTTTTCTGGCATGTAGATGCAGCGTTTTATGGTACATCATGTGAGGAGGGTTTGTGTGAATTTAAGAAGGCCATTTTCTTACGTCCTTGCATTGAAGGCAAGAAGCTCAGACTGTGCCATAACATTCATCTGTTATGTTTTACTTTGACAGCTGTATTGATGTTTACTATTTAACAAACTGAACCCAAACCTACCATTAATCACCTTAAGGACATGGACATCTCCAACAACATCAGGCCACGTTACAAAAGTATAACCCACTGATCACTGTAGTATTTAAACTCTTGAAGCTAAACTTTGGCACTATTTCTATTTTCTTTTTCTCAAGACTTTCAGCCACTTTCGAGCTAATTAAAGTATTAGCAAGTAAGTTAGTGGCTGCAAGTTAATAATAGTTATTGTCTTCCATAGGTAATGGCTCAGATATGTTTTTTTTGATTGTCATTGTTTACTGGATTGCTGAGACACAGGGATCTGTGAACTGATTACTATTTGTCAGATACGCTTAAAGCTGCTATGAGGAGTTTTTCAGGTTTATTCAATAAAATGAAATTCATATTGTTGCCTTTTATGTTGTATGCAAACACAAACAAGACCACCAGGAGCATGACAATGATTTTCATTCTGTTGTATTTAATGCCTTAATCTGGTGTGAGGGGGTAGGTGTCAGCTTCAGACACAGCCCCCTCCACCATTTCTTTTTACAGTTTTCCTAACAAAATATTCACAATAATATTATATATGGAGGACAAATATAATAGAGGACAAAGTAAGCAAAGACTGCTTTGTCAACAGGGGGTGCTGAAATTGACACAAACCAAAAGTTTCTTACAAGACCTCTAATTTATTCCATTTACAGCTGAAAGGCTAGCTGTTAGACCTTACAGTAACAATTTAGCTTTTTAGCTTTCCATCCTAACCATGACATGGTTTGTCTCCATAATGTAGGTCTGGTTCATAAAATATCCATATTTCTCAGTTCTCCCTTTTATTTCTCCCCCCAGGTGAGAGTTATGTGTGTGCCTCAAATGAACCCTTCAGACGCGTGGACTACACCAAGAATGTCCATCCCAACTGGGCAGTGGGAAGCAGGACCGGCACATCCCGCTCCCTCTCCTCTCTTTTCCCCTTGAAGAACGAGTTGCAGCGCGAGTCCAAGGACTATATCAAACCCAAGCTTGTCACTGTCATCCGCAGTGGGGTGAAACCCCGTAAGGCAGTCCGGATACTACTCAACAAGAAGACGGCACACTCCTTTGAGCAGGTGCTCACGGATATCACAGATGCTATCAAGTTGGACTCTGGAGCTGTGAGAAGACTGTACACTTTAGAGGGCAAGCAGGTGAGACAGATATACTGCATGATTTCATCACCAAGGTAGCTTCTGCTAAACCAGTTAGTGAGAGGTTTTCTTGCCATGAACTCATTGACTGTGATGACTTGATGATAGTTGGCTTGAGTTAACTGTATTGTTCTCAGTGAGATTGTATTCTGTGGGTATAAAAAACAGATGGAAGTGCTGTGTTGAGCTTTGAGCCAAATGTTTAATCTCCAAAAACTGCTGCAATTTACGGGCTTCAGCTGTGTCAGCAGTCTAGGTAATTACAGCCCATTTAATCCCAGCCCATACATAATTACACGCCATGATTATTTCAACTTGGCACTAATGAACACATTTTAAAGTTCAGGTCATTTGCCATGTCGATCAGTATGGAGTTCTTCCCACCTCTTTTACCCCATAAAGCCATCTGAGACTGTTTTTACTAAAACCCCGCCCACCTGGGGCACATTTATTAATGCCTTTAGCTGAAAACCTCATTGGGGGTCCCTGGTGTTGTCAGATGAAGTGAGCTTGAACACATGGTTCCCCTAATCAGAAAGATTTATAGGACACTGACTCATCTGGGAAAAGGCTTTGTGATAGCTATCATCAATCTTTTAGAATGATCATCTTTTAAACTGAGAAGATCTGGATGAAATAAACAAAAAAAAAATCTGTTTAATAAACCTTGAATGCCTAATCTTGGTTAGCTTACAACCCAATCGTTTTGTTTGGGTTTCTGTACATGAGTATCTAAAGATTTTTGTCGAATTTGGCCCTTCTTTTCAGGTTAGAAGAACACAAAGACTAAGTCATAGATTGTGACTGTATTCCTGGCCTCCAATGACCCCTGATTTGTTTTGGTCTAGATGCAGTCAGCTGTGAAATACGTCCCTTCATTCACTTCATATCTCTTCTCATTATTCTAGTCAGCAGCTTTCATGGTTGATTTGTCTGTTCGCTGTCTGTGCAGCATTAAAAGCACATGATGCAAACAAATGTCTGAAATCTATGGTTGGAAACTGTGAACTATGAACTGCACACTTACATATTGATCAAACAAAGCATTTGAAAGACAGATATGGAAATTTGTTGACTCTTTATGCTGATGCAGTGGTCCATAACAGTCTGAAACGGATGCAAAGTAGTGACTTGGACAGAGCTTTCTAAAGAGGAAAGACAACAAATCCTTCTTTCACAGAGCAGAAACAGTTATATTATCAGTTAGATAAGATAAGGCACATTTCTTGATAAAAAGTCCATCATGAAAGGATGATAATTGATTAAAAAGCTAATCAAAATAAGTAATCACCGTTTTACTTTTGTCCTGGTGCAAATTCAGTCCAAAAGCCACCAAAAGCTGAAATGCCTCTGTAAAAGTTTCAGTTGAGATGAGGTTGTAAAGTGAGAGAAAGTCCAAAGAACCTCCTGTCTCTGAACTTTTGAACTGAGAATCCCACCTCTGACAGCCAAACCGGCTGACGTTACCTTCCTGTGAGCAGACAAAAGGGCTTACTAGACCTGACGTACCAGACAAATGACTCATGGGAAAAGTGATCTCCTCTGACAGGGCAAGTCAAGCATCCATTCATCAGACAAACACAAAAGCATACTTTATAATGAAATGTTGGGTTTATAAAATGGTAAGAATATATCTTTACACCATCCTGTCATATCAACTGACACGATTCTAGCTTGAATCATGTGAATTGATTCAAGCATCAAAAATGATGATATAGCTGTATCAGTAACTGTCAGTAATGTCCTGAGTTTATTGGTTTATTGGAAAAGAATTACCCAGCAGACATTTTTGTTTTCCTTTTTGCACCTTCAGTTCTATTTCTGTTAAAGACAGAGGATCTGATTTGTCAAAGTGAAGAGGCTGACACATGTAAAATATTGTACTAAGATAAAATGAAAGCATTTCCATAACTTCTCATGCTGGATCGGTCAAGACTCCTCAGCTTAACGGTTATTGATTCTGAGTAGCAAAGGCAATGTCAGTGACAGCCTTGTCTCATGTCACACATACAAAATCAGTCCACAGAGAGTAGTTACAGCATGTCCAGTATAGACAGATGGTTAGTGGTTAACTAGTCCAACTAGCACAGACAAGCCGACTTAAGGTGGGAAAACAGAGTCTTTTTCTTCCTAAACTCAATTTTGCACAACTACCAGCAAACTTCACAAGACACCTAACATGTACGTAAACCTCCTGGACTTTTTTACTGTGATTCATTTTGTTCCATATTTGGGAAATCAATCGTAGTGGATACCAAGTGGGGCAGCCATGTTGACTAGCTGTTATGTTTGCCAGAGTATCATTTCATCAGACATTAAAGGGTTCATGAATATATGTGATGATTTCTGGATGTCCTACTAGCCTTAAAATACGTCAAAAATTAACAATAAGTATAAAAACTGTTCGCATCTATCCATCAAACCATCCATCGATTCATTTAATGTACTTCCTCATTAATGGTCTGTGTAACATTGTGTCTTACATGGTGTCACCGCATGTCCTCTACAGAAGAGTCTTTTGGATAACATTGAAAAGTTTCCATTTTGATAATGAACCGCAGAGGTTGCTTAGTCAGCAGAGGAGGAAAGCTGTGACCCTTTTTTCATTAATTCAACAAAGATAATACAAAATGATGCATGTTCAACCTTTCCCGTCAAGACCTCAATTCTTTTACATGTCCATGTTAACAAAAAACGGGTTAAATCACAACATCTCACGCTTCGAAGCTAATGAAATTAAGTCACAATGATGCAAAAAGTCAAGTGTGTGGAAAAAAATAGCAAACAATGTAGGATTTACTGGACTTGTTTTAACCTCTTGTCTTCAACAGCTCTGTTAAAGGATTGAATTAAGAGTTTAATTTGGAGGTTTAACTCATTAAGCCTGTAACTCGATCCTGAGACCAGAGCAGGACACCTGACATTATCCTGCCAATGAATGCAGTGAGCTCCATCTTTACTCTGGGCTGATAAAGAGTTTTACAAATAAACTGATAGTCAATATTCAACAGTTCAATCTTTGTTTCTAAAAACTGGCTACGTTGAGAATAGAAGGCGAAAGATTTTGCTCTAATCTGTTCACTCTCTCTGGTCCTCTGCCCCCCACTGAACAAAAACCCTACCCTGCTGTCTCCCAGACTCCCAGACCAAACATGTCTCTGTAATCTGACAGCTTGACTTGTTTAGAGCCCTCTGTCACTGACTTGCTCCAGACTGATAAGCCTTTTTTTATTACACTTGAGGTGGAGCTAGTGAAACTAAGAATTTTAGATTTAGTTTATCCTTGTGAATAGAAAACAGCCCACTGTGCAAAAAACACAAATACCTTTTAGTGTGAAGGACTTAAATGCCTGCTTTCTGTTCCTTATGAAGGAAGGGACTTGAGGGAAACTCACCTTTTACTAAGGCCCCAACTACACGGATGCGGATATATTTCAAACCGCACATATTTATGTCCGATTAGGCCTCCCTACCACACCAAAACGGGAGTTTGGATCACTCAAACCGGATAAATCTGAATCTGAAAAAACAAGTGGAGAAATAAAAAAATATTCGTATAAGTGGATTCATGTGGTTGAACTTTTATGGATCGATGACGTCAAACCGCAGCTCGCGCATGCAAATTAAAAAGAAAAACAACAACAACGATGGCAGACAGACAGGGTATTCTTTATGTTTGTTTTGCCTTTTTGGGGCTAATTTCAGCCTTGCAAGTGAACCTTGTTTTATACAATTACATCCACCAGTCAGCCAGTGTCTGTTTTGTTATAGCCGCCACACCGTCACATGGACCCGACGCACTAGCGTAGCTTCCGCGAACAATGCATGACGCATCACGCTGTTACGATTCATCGGCCAATCAGATAGCTTTGTTTCTGAATTTTTTTTAAGCGGCACCAGATAGGATTGAGTTTGAAGGCTACGTGTGGAAGCAGATATTTTTGAGAACAAAAATATCCTGATAAATAAATATCTATATACGTGTAGTCCGGGCCTAAATTAACCCAGAAGACAGATTTTCCATGAGGTCCACTAAACACAAGCTGTCCCCCAAATTCTCACTGTCATCACCAGTAAACTGACTTCATCTCATGTTGTTTAAACACCAAGAAACAGCATGAACAAGCTTTAATATGTTTGTGTTTTACTAAAGAGACTTTAATTGCAGGTGTTTCATTGAGGTTTTGTTACTACAAATACATCTATGAGTATTTTATTGCACAAACATCATACTGTAACATACCGTTTTGAAAAAAGCTGAATAGATTTTAAAAGTTTAATTCAAATAAAAAAGTAAGGGCCAACACTTAGTCACCCTACACACAAATACAAACACACATACACACCCCGCATGCCTTCCAGCAGCATCCTGCCATCTGCTCCTCCAAAATCAAATCACAGGTCCAAGCCACCCAGTCTGCAGGCGCTTCAGCCCCCCTCCCACTGATGCACACACTCACATGCACAAACAACATCGCACACACGCAGAGCAACCCCCCTCACCCCCACTGCGGCCTTGGCCACCACCGAATAATTAGACCTACAAGCTGAAAGGGAGGGTTAAAGTGCAGCTGTCAGGTGTGTGTGTTTATGTGTGCGTGTGTTCGGGGACGTGCACGTGTGAATTGAGTGTGCCTAAAAAATTACGTCTCTGTCCACTCTCTCTTCTGGAATCAAAGCTGCTCTTCAGACTGAATGTTAATTGTAGCTGTTGGTTATCAGGGCCAGCAGAATCAGCTGCCACTTCTCAGAGAAAGCCCTGTTTTACATCTCAAAGCTGACTGGGCAGGCGGAAAATAAGATCTCCCTATTTTTTATTGTTCAATCGATGCATTCATTAGTTTTGGGAACACTTTGCAGTCCAGTACTTACTTAGTTGTCTTATTTATGTAAAAATCATTCAGAGAAGATATAGGGGGACTGCAAACGGAGACAAAGAGGAGAAGTTTCTTGAGATAAAAGTGGAGTGCTGATTTGTAGAAGAAGAGAAGAGGAGCTCAGATCTTTTTCTTTCTATGCACAGCTGGCTGTTTACAATGTGTGAAGATGTCACATCGTGAGATATCAGAGAGCCTCGACTGCTTCAGGACTGATGGTAGCAAAGGAGAAACAGGATGTGTGTTCAAAAGAAAGGATTATGGTCACTAGAGAGTAGAGCTGGGCGATAAAACGATAATGATGTATATCAAAGATGAATTTCTGTTGATATTGATATGAAACATGGTCAATTTGCTTTTCGATAGTCGTATTCTGCCATGTTGTGGTAGACTATATGAATAGCCAATGAAAAGGGGACTTGCTCTGTGTCCGTATTGTGCTGAACCAATCGTGCTGAATTACAACCAAGTAGCAAACAACTGTGTAGTAGCAGACTACAATTACATGCAACACGTGAAGCTGACAGCACTGTGGGTGAGAAAAAAGGAAATGAGTGCTACCCCGGGCAGAAATGCAGATGAAGGCTCAACTGATGACGAAATCTTCGACCTTATTATCTTCGCTTATTGTATTGCAAAACACATACTATCAATAAGCACTGTTATATTTCATTTAAGAGTAACAGGGAACATTTAAGATTGACAAGTGATTTTTTTTATAATGTGATATTTATCGATTTTGACTGAGATGAAAAAAATGTATAGTGATAAACTCTTTCCCATATCGCCCAGCCCTACTAGAGAGTAAGAGAGGTTATAGCCCTTACTTTTTCCCAGTGCCTGTTTTCTGCACCTTCCCATTCACTTCTTCCTACTGCTGTACATTTTTTGGTGTGAGCCATAAGCCTTTCTGTCCCACTCAGTCCTACAAAAACATTTCTCTTTGGTCAAACATACTGAATGAGAGCTTGTCGACTAAATATGATCAACAATTTCACATTTATTACAGAGGCACAAAGACTCTCCATGCGTTAGTTCAGATTTTTTTTAGCAAATCCTTGTAGGAGTATAACCTTGGTCTCTATCCCTGAGGACTATGAGGGCATTAAGAGTTCAACATTGTTATTCTTTCTCCAACAACATCTGCCAAAAAATCCTGGAATACATTTGCCTTTCACAACTCTTTTCACTCTGTGATGATATCAGGATGACAGTTTGTCTGCCCATTAACCAGAGGGCAGGAATACTGTACAGTGGACCTTTTCACAATACTCAGCAAGCAGAGGAATGAGAGAGGAAATGAGGCCTTAGCACTGATAATTGGACAGTTTGCTCAAATGACATTCTTTGTTTACATCTTTGGAGCAGTAAGCCGGACATGCTGTACCCAGGATAATGAACTGTAGGCACAGTGGCTGCAGATCTACAGTTGTGTATTATGCATGTTTATGCTGTTGGTTTTTAAAAGATTTAAATGGTAGTAATAGAAATAGGAATGAGTTAAGAATAAAAAAGAAATTGCAACAGTTAATAAAAAGTGCAGAAGATTAGAAAGAAAGCTATTTACAAAGCGCAAAGTGTTTAAGAAATAAGCTGTGTTCAAGCATAAAGAGTAGTAAGTGCTGAAACCAGTTTGCAGTGTTGCGTTGTGGGATATTGCACAGAATATAATACAGTATAACAGAGTATTGCACTCTTTGATTACTGAAGTTTGACATAAAGGTACAGTGTATAGCAATTTAGATATCCAGAAAATGCTCCCTTGCTCACCTGTTGGCCTTCAGGGACAAATAGCTCCTGTGATGCATGAAAAAGATGATTCTTAAGTCAAGCTGTTAGTATCAAAAACATCTGTCATTACAGCGTCTTTTGGGCAAACAACCACTCTGTTGCCATCAGTGCTTTTCACACAGCAAGTACAAAAACACACACTCTTTTTATTAGATTTGGTTTCATTCAAAAACAAAATTCACCAAATTGAAACTTTTTTTTTTTCTTGGAAAGCATTTTTTTTTCCAGTGTTTGTGTTTGTATTAAAACTGATGAGCAACTTATGAGGCACTTGAGCAGTAAGATAACTTCTAAAGTTACAAGCAAAACAGAAGTCAATTGAAAAGACCAGCTGTGTTTCCATGATTAAGTAATCAGTTTAGTTCAGTTAAGTGCTGTTGTTGCCCTTAGGGAAATTACTCTTGTATAGAAGCTCGGTACCCATATACAGAGAAACAAAAACGATGCAAAAAACATCTACGAAACAAAGAAAGCATTCAACTTCAGCCAATTAGAGTTTAGTAGACAGAAAGCAAAGGGTATTTAGAGCGACAGATTTTTGCTGACATAATGAAGACAGCAGTAAAACTTCTCCCTCAGACTGAGTGCTCAAACTGCATTCTCATCAGTTTCCTTGTATATTGGTGGCTGGTTCTGAAAACATAATTGAACAAATTAATAAGTAGAAATTTGTGGCAGTGACGACCCCAGTCCCGCCTCTATGTTTAGATTTTAGGTTGTCCAAATTATTCATAGTGAAAGTTGCCCTCAGCAGCTTTTGTAATTATATTTTCAGTTAAAGCAGATTGATAAAAGTCTCACTTTGATGATAACAGCCCTGTATAAAGAGGACCTCATTGATCACCGAACAGTATCAAGATAACAGCTAGCTTGGTGATAGTGGATGAATTTCTAGGTTTCGGGGGCATACACATGCTTATGAGATGATGGCGGATTTTAGTTAGTGTGACACTGATGCACTTTGGCATCACGTTACATGACACGCTCCAATACTCTAAAACCAACCCCGCACTAGTACATGTGTTAGCAGAGCTGTGCTGCTCTGCTACCTCCTGCCAACAGTTAAAAGGTTTACATTCATTAAAGTGTCTCCCTATAATCGTATTGCAGGAATCATATCTTGTAATTTGCACATGCTGTTATAGGCAGATTATTAAAACTGTCAATCATTTTGACTGGATAGGGTCTAGGCTACATGTGATCCCTATGTGATTTTCAGACATGAGCTGTTTTCAGCGCCAAATCTGGATTAAATGCCCCCATTTAGGTCAACAGCTATCAAATTTGCATACCCACCTATTGTTTTGCTGTGTTATTAGCACACAGCACCATCTGACGGCAAACAACAGTGTAATTAGTCAGAATTAATCACCATAGATATTGGCCCAAAAACTTGGCACATTATCTCAACAGTTGGAAACTAAAGCAGTGCAACTTAAATAACGAAGCCTTGACAACCGTAGTAGCTGTTTGGTTCTTGGAGATAAAAACCAACATACCATGACACCCTCTTTCTGGTAACGGATGCCTTACAGACTGTGCTTCCTGTACCAGTCCTGATGGGCAGCACAAACAAACTTCTTTGTTTTTAAAATGCAAAAGTGCTTGAAGTGCTGGCATGATACCCTGCCTTGACAAAGAGGAACACAAAAGCAGGCAGACAACAGAGGAGGGGGGGACACAGGGCTGTCGGCTGTACAGAGCGTGTGGAGGCCACAGACAGGGAGGGCGTCCATTGTGTGCTGTGTGATCTCAACTACTTGTTTGGTTGTCTTTGTCCAAGCGTGGTGTTCATTCATTCTTTGCAGCAGGCCTTTCACTCTGCCAACAGTGGGGAGTTGACATCACGTCATGGGAAGCGGATCTACAATCCCCAGCCCACACACTATTGTTTGTCTTCTTAAGTTAAATCATGCTAGCAGGCTCGGATTGCCTCAGCAAGTTTTGGCAGATTGATGTGATGAATGTCGTTGCACAGGGCAGATCGTGAGCTGCACGTTAAAGTGATCCTGACAACTGTAGCATGTATCCAATACTGATGCTGGAGTTCCATTTGCACATCAAACAATATCTATTCCTTGTCTTGTCTTTAGGGTAGAAGTCCTGGCTGACTTTAGACTGTTGAGTTTTATGTTTGTTGACAGATTGAATTTATTAATTTAATTTCATTTTAGGGATCTAGCCACAAAACACAGTGAGTTACATTCTTGGAAATTCATGTCTTTTGAGACTTCTGTTGTAAATGCAGTAATGAGATTTGAGTGTTTATTGCCTGGCAGCAACTTTAAGTGTGATAATATTGTTAGTTTTTTAATTTCAGACTGAGCGTTATGGTAATTGGCAACAAAACCAACATTTATGTATCTCTTGTGGATCTCACTGCACCTCAGCAATTCTGCGAGCCTGACTCTAAATGAGCTGGGTATTCTGCTGAGGCTCGTTCGAGCTACAAGTCGCATGTGCGTGTTCAGGCTTATACTCTCACTCTTTTATTCCTCCTCGCACAGCTCCTTTTTAGTGTAAAGAGCTCAATTACACTCAGAAACCCTGAGGTTATGTGCTGTAATGTCTCACTTCTGTGCATCAGTATGACTTGAAAGAGCACAAAGACAACCAGACAGCAGCTGCTGGCTGTTGTGGCGCCACTTCCTCTGGAGTTTCCACAAATCTGAAAGCCAATGTGGGAAATTTCAAGTGTTAATTTATGTTTTGGGGTGTTTTTGCTGGTGGTATTTGGAGTTCTTACAAAATAAGGGAAGAAGTGAAGGGAAAATGTTGTTTATTATGTTTTTTTGTATTTTTTTTTTTAACACTGCTTTCATTTGAAACTGTTTTGGTTGGTTCTACAACTTCTGTTTTGAGAAAAACCGAGACTTGAAGTGGAGGTGTTTAGTAGCCGATTTTAAAACAGCTTGCATAGTGAGTTAATAATGTAATTAGATTTCTCACTGCTTGTTTTCATGCTGCCGCCGTCTTGTCTCAGCAGCTCCACGTGTTTGAGATTTACGACTCTAATCCAGAGGAATTAAACAGTCTGAAAGTTGCTCGGGTCTGTAAGTGAGAGAGTTCAAACAGAGTTAACAACTTGGTTGGCTTTACCGTGAGCATTGCCCTGACAAATTTAATAGGCACCCAGCTATGAGTAACAGTTTAAGTGAGCATTTAAAACCTTCTGGCTGTTTGTGAAGAACGCATTTATCTGGTTCAACACGAAAGCTCTTTTTCTGGGGTAACAGCAGGGGGGCTGTGTAGACCTGACCTTCCCCGAGGCACAAAATGTAGGACTCAATCTTTCGTGTTTCTCTGTCTTTCCCTCAGGTCTGCATCCACCCCCAGTGCCTCTTATTTGGCTCAGAGTGATGAACAGAGGGAGGTGGGGGTGATGGTAGTGAACAATTACAGTAATCGTCAGAGCCAGAGACCCCTTCACTTCCTGTGTGTCTCCTGGTTAGCAATTTGTGTTTCTTTTTATGTACAAGAGTAAACATATTGTTATTGTGTAATCTTAACAGATTTTCCATCATGACTCTGTCTTGTAAAGTAAAGCAGGCAGGACGGAGGACACAGACTGATGATGAGAGCAAGAGAAGGTCAGACATATGAGAGTTGGGGGCGTCACATCTTCGAGGGAAAGATCCAGTTTACCCTAAAGATACGTTACCCAGCCAAAACAAAACCCTGCAGACAGTTCACGCCACTGATGGGCTAAGACAAGCTGAGACTAGCAGGATAGAGCTGGCGATGCAGGGCCATTGGCTGTTTATCCTGGTAGGGGTTGACAAAGAAGAACATGGACATCACAGTCTCACATTCACACCTTTTATATTTTGCTCTAAATAATCTTCTGAAGAGGTTATGCAGAGTTCAAAGAAAATGATTTATCATTATTATAATTCACGATCAAACAGGTTACACCCAGTTCCCTTAACATGGTCTACAGGATTTACATTTTTGTATGGGTATAGAATCTATGTTGCTGCATTGAAGGATATACTCAAACAGGTACATTTCAGTCAGAAAACAACGTGCTTTGTTGGCTCAGGGGACAGGAAACTAAAGAAGCAGGAAACTTGAGTGATGGGGTAAGAAATCAATGTGCACAACCGGTACAGCAGGGAAAAGCTGAAAGGATCAAATCATACGCCAACAGTAGTGACAATATGAGCAAGTGAGGGCTCAGCATGTTATTAGAACAGCCCTTCATGGTCATAAAAGGATCAGTGAGTTAACCAGTGATTAGATGATGCTAATCATGACTTAACTTTAGTGCTCTGAAGAGGAACATATGCAGTCTGCTCTTGTGATTGAAAATCCAATGGTGATATTGATGGGGGAAAAAAGTTACTTATATTCAAACTTAGAGACAGATGTTTGGATCGTGGATTTCAGATTTTATATCCAGTATAGACAGTATATGTCTAAAAATCAAAATAACCTTGAAAACACTCTGGAAAACTTTCTTCCGAGGTAAGAAGTTCAACAAACCTGTGTGGTCAGCAAAAACAAGATATCCAGCAGCTGTTTTTTTTGTTTGTTTATTCATGCTTACTTTGCCTTACATTCTCTCAACCCTACTACCATATGCACTAAGTGTTATTTGGATATAATATATTCCTATCTGACATGACTTCCTCTCATAGCTTGAATACTAATATTTCCAGTTTGGAAACGAATACGATTTTGAATTTTAGAAAATACAGTTTTTAAACGTTTATTTAAGATTAAAGCTCTAATACTTTACAGATTTGGTCATTTAACATGATTTCTCAAACACTTAACCTTTTTTATTCTGGCCTTTTTATATCCACGTCCATACAGGCATCATTTGTCTCCATTTCCCTGCTTTCCCCTGGGCGTCACAGGCCAGCTGAAAAGTACTTTATCACAGGGCACAGCACTGCTAGCCTTGCAGAGAGAGAGGAGTGTGTGTAGAGGTGAAAGTAAATGAGAGTCCAACCAGGGCCCTTCTGGACAAAGATGAATATAAAACACCAGCCTCCAGTTTCTTTTCTCAACAGTAAGCCTGTTGCCTCAGGGGGTGCAGGGATAAGCATGTCCAGAGGCACAAGCGAGATAACAGGCAGAGGGTCTGCTGTCGCACACATTTAGATGAGAAATTTGAATGATTTGATGACATTTAGCTGAGCTGGTCATTTTTGGGAAATGAGCTTGTTTGCTATATCTGGTGCAGAGTCAGATAAGAGGATTGATACCACTCTGACAATTGTCTGCTAAATTGGAAGCTCTAGCCAGGCGACTGTTTGCCTCGCTGAGCTCAGCCCAAAGGCAGAAAATAAGGAAAATGTTAGTATAGCCTCCTCCATGTTTAATCCAAGGAACATCTAAAAGAAAATCTTCAGTTTAATGTCAGTTTAGTGCTGTGTTTTGGAGGTAACTGTGACTTCAGTTGGGCTTGTATGTTGATCTTATAACAGCAAAACAAAGCTAAGCTAACAGGCTGCAGCATATTTGAATGAACAGATATGTGAATTATATCGATCTTCTCTTTAAATTCTCTGTAACAAAGCAAAGAGGTGATTTTCTAAAACGGTTATATATCCCTCCACAGTGTCCCTAAAATCTTTTGACCGCTGATGTCATCACACTGAGTGGTTTCCCTACCAGAGGACAGTGCTCACTTAAGCAGTCGGTACAGTCTGTCACTATCTCACATTCAGAGTCCATCCACACAGCCTGCTGAGTGGGTGGAAAATACAGAGAGGTGTTATCATTAATAATGTGTCCTCCAAGCAGTGTGTGGATTTGGGATGGAGGTGAGTGAGAAATGTTATCTAACATCTGAATATAATAGTCTCTTGCTTTAATGGCAGAGTCCATTTTTGACACATACATCAGACCGTCCATGTGGGCTGTTACTATGGTGATTCTAACACTTCTGCCCCTGACAGTATGGTGTGGCGATCAGCTGCCAAGTTCCAGAGGGAGAGCTCATCTAAAGAATGGCATTCACTCTAGCTATGCCAAACCTCTGATACCCTGCCACGTCTCATTCTGGACATAAACTACAATGTCAGTTTTTCTTCTAATTTCACTCGTTATTTCTAATCGTTGCAACATCAAGACCATTTAGTTTGACTCAAAGATGAGCCTGATGTGGCTATTTATTTGAATATTATGTCTACTGTATACTGTTTCATCATTAATTTGTACTGTCTGAATGTAGGACATGCAGAAGTGTCATGTTTAGTGTCTTATTTATTATTAACGAATGTGTAATTCAGACCTACTGTTGAGTTATTTGTGTTAGATGTGCCACTATTAAAGTTGTCAAGCGTCACCACCGTTTCATTTCCATTTTCCTGTCTATTCGATAAGACTTCAATGATTTTTTGTGCCCTTCTGAAGCTTCTTTGGACCAGTAGCTTCTCTGAAAGCCTGACACACACACACACAAACATATATAATGTGCACACATACTCACTTTCCCCCACTGTGTCAGCCCTCAATCTCCCCCAGAGGGTCCATCTGCCTAAGATCTTCAGCCATCCCTAAAGCCTCCTCCTTCTTGTTTCAAATGTGTGTGCTTGTTTGTGTGTGGTGTATGTGTGTGTGTGTGAGAGGGGATGCATATAGTGAGTATGTCTTCCAGTGTGTGGGTACATATGTGTGGTATGGGGGTGGGATAATGAACAAAGTCCTTTTCCCTCCTTTGTCTTCCTACTTGTCCACCCACAGAAACATGGGGATAATCTGTATATGCGTGTCTGCTTGTGTGTTTGTGTGAGTGTGAGTGTGTGGGCATAACTCTCTGTAGTTTAAAAGTAGCTGCTGTTTTTGTCTCCGAGCGAGGGTTGTAGGTGCAAAAGGAAAAACGCTGGATCTGCAGAGAAAAGGGTGCTTATAGTGTGAGACAGAAAAAAACAAACAAAAACAAAAACAAGACAAATGACCCTGCAGCACAAACGCTTACTGTACAGCTGCCCTCCCATGACTTAGCATTGAGTCTGCAGTATTATGGATGTCAGGCTGTTTTGACCTTGTCTTTTTGTCAGCAGACTCAAACACATGCAGAGTCACACAGCCACAACCTCTTTGTACCATATGCATCACGCAGTCGTTTTAATTGGCCTACATGAAGGAGCACAGAGTGAAGCAATTATTTCACATCCAGAAATACCACAGTTAAATGTACAGCTTAGATATCAAGAATGACTTTACATTAGTGTCATGTAACCCAAAGCAGGAAGATGTTAAAACCCCGGAAATGTGAGGAAAATCTGGTGAATGAAACTGTCATTCATGTTTTATGCCTTCAGTGTTGCTGAGGTTGTAAAAGATTGAGGAGATTGTGGCTTTACATCAAAAGGTATACAATGGGGTATGTCATAAGAATAAACCACTGCTGTATGGAAAACAACTAGACCGTATGTTAAAAAAGACTGAAATGACCATAAAACTTCTATTAGTATCCTGGGGTTTTATTCACTTTGATCAATATACTCATCCTGCCTTAATTTGGGACATATCTGACAGTAGAGGTTGGCGATATTGGTTAAAAAAATTTCAATTTTTCCATTCTGGCGCTAACGATTAAAAGTCACAGTAAAGAAAAAAGTATAATTCCTATCGAAGTTTTTGACTCCTTCTGTCTTGAGAACCCCACAAATATTGTTCGTGGATGGCACTTCCCAGTTGGCATAGTCAAATAAGATACTTAACTACAAGTTTAAGAAAACTAATGACATCAAACAAGTCTAAAATGTAAAAACACTGTCAACATTTATTCAATACTCTTGTTGCACAGAGTGAACAGCAGCAGTAGATCCACTGTCTGATGTCAGGCATACCTGATTGCATTTGTCTAAGCCCCAATCTTGAAGGAAAGTTTATTGCATTTATCGTGAGATGGCAGATATGAAAGATATGAATTATCATGAACGATAATTTATTGCCCATCCTGAGGAGACAGACTTTTAATGGTTTTAGAACAAAACTAACTTTTGCCTTGTTAATATTTGGTTCTTCGGTTCTGCTGTGAATAGATCAAGACTGAAATAATATACATAACACTTTGATCTTTCAGGACAGTATTAACATTGAAGATATCCCCTTACTCTTTTGTTACTTTTCTACTGCCACCCACCCCCCTTTTTTTACAATCTTTCTTGCAGAACTTTTTAAGGTTTAACTTTATGTTTCCTCTCATTCTCCTTCAGGAATCATTCTAGAAGTGTCTTGCTGCTTTTGCTGAGCAAACCTGACGATCTCACAAAATTAAGGGGTCCCTGTTTTCTCTCTGCCACTGAATGTTACATGCTGCTTTTCATGACACAGAAACCTGAAAAACTGAGACCTGCTGTGATAAGTCAAAACATGCTAGAGACCCTCCCCTTAAGCCTGTATTAGAAGTTTGATGGTATTTCAACATGACAAAATACAAATACTTTCTGTTTTCTTTTATGATTGCAAGTTTGCTTTGTTTTTGTTTGGTTACCACCAACATTTTTAATGAGTTATAATAGTATTTTATGGGACGGCATATTTCAATGCAGTGTTTGTGCACATGAAGTAAGTTAGAGGCTTCCATTTCTGCACCATGACCACCATTAGCAGTATCTGAAGACACTGTGGTAAGGGTATGAGCAGCTGATACAGATGTGATTTGCTTAAAGCTGAACATACTCATACTGAAGTACTTAGAAACCAAAGACGAAAAAAAGGGATGACATTTTTATTTTTGAGTTTTCTCTATAAACAAAACAAACATCTGACTGTAAAGAGAAGATTGACTATAGCACCAATTTGAATATATTTCATGTGTTTTATTCCACCTGTATCCGTCCTCCTTCAGGTTACCTGCCTACAGGACTTCTTTGGGAACGATGACGTGTTTATCGCCTGTGGCCCAGAGAAGTTCCGCTATGCCCAGGATGACTTTGTGTTGGATCAGAGCGGTAAGGCTTCCACAGCCTTTATGACTGGTAGGCCTGACTAAGACTAACTCAACATTCGTCACTGTGTTTGTGGGTGTATATGTGTGTGTGTGTTCATCTTAGTCTCTCCTCCACTGGTCTTTCCTAAATGGTACTTGCAACACTCTTTTCCTTTAGACAGATTTGCAGGATATAAGAAGTGTTAATAAGTTTCCCTTTTATCTTTAGTAATTTTTCATAGGGAACAAACATTTAACATCAAAATATATTTTTAAAATCTGTTTCTTAACAAAAAGATGTATATAACTTACACTTATTCCTGCTGTCAGGTAAGGAAAAGAGGCTGCATCCATGTTGTCAGAGTATTTTACATCTTTGTGCCTCTGTGTAAGCGTCAGTGTCCATGTCTGCACACACAGTGTATTAAGCACACCTTCAGTCAGATATCACACCTTTATCTTGTATAAGATCCACAAAGGGTCCAAGAGCACACAGGCAGGATGTGACCTGCTTAAACCAGCAAATGTATTCACTGTACAAACTTCAGCCAGTGACCTTGCAGGAAGGAAGAGGATTAATATAGTAACAGGCCAAGTATTGACATCCTGCTTAATTTTAGTGTTGTTTTGTCAGGTCAGCCAGCAACAGAGGAGCGCATCCTAACACACGCTGCGCTAACTGTTGCTGAAGATGCGTGATGAGAGTTTGATCGTCTTCAGAGAGAGAGAGTTTAGAGCTTTCGTCCCACTTACACTCCTGTGCTCTACTTTTAAAAATTAGGGCTCTGACGGAAAAAAAAAGGCACACTGAAGTCTCAGCTGAACGTACAGGAGCTGCTCTTCCTTTTGTAAACCAATACACACTCTGCATGGAGTCAATAAAGATTTAATGCGCTGACTGGGGATTGAATCAGGGGCAGAACACAAAAGACTGCCAAAACACGTCAAAATTGTGATTGCTTAATCTCTTTTGGCTAGGTTTTGTATTTATGAGCAAAGTAATTATGAATCCCTTTAGAGCTGGGCGATACGGTGATATATATCACAATATAAAAAAAACAAAATTTAATAGGTAGCATGTCTTTTTCAATACAATAAGCTACTGCATCTGTGAGGTCTTTGTGTCTCTTTGAATTTTTGCGCCAGAGAAAGCGGATTGAATGGTCGTCAGGCGCCACAGGGTTCTTGCTCCGCTCAGTTTGTAACCTTTTGCATTGTGCGTGCTCTGCCGTGTGGCACTGCATGGTATTCCCCGACTTTGCGAGAACATGTACTCGACACAGTTTGCAGTGCACATTACGCTGCTTCATGTCCGACCTCAAAAAAACAAAATACCTCCACACCACCTACGTTTTCATGCCAGTGTTGACAGTGTTATCGTCTGTTTAGCCTTCTTCTGCATTTCTGCCAGGGGTAGCACTCATTTTCTTTTTTTCTCACCGACAGTGCTGTCGGCTTCACATTTTTAAGTGTTATGGTTGCATGTAGCTGCAACCTGCAGTTGTTTGCTCTTTGTTCTAATGCAGCACATGATTGGTTCAATGCAAAGCGGTCCCGGAGCAACTCCCCTTTTCATTGGCTATTCGTATTGAATATTCCTATCGAAAAGCATATTGACCACGTTTTATATTAATGTTGAGGGAAATTAATTTTTGATATATATCGTTATCATTTTATCGCCCAGCCCTAAATCCCTTGTATGAGACAAAGAGTGGATGAACCAAAAACATGTAAACAAAACATTAAACTTTCACAAGAGATGCAAATTCCCCTTTACTGAGGTCGTTTAAGAAATATGTTTTGTTGTGGTTTCATATGTGCACCAGAAACACACCATGCTGAGCGGCCCTTTTAATCAGTCAGTGAAATATGTGCGTGGTGATAAATGGCTCGGGGAGCGCATTAGGAATGCACTGTGGGTGTGCGCTGTTGGTGTGTTTTCTTTTTCATGTGTGTTGTTTTATTATACCTCTCACCGCCCCCACCCTCATTAACACCAGCCTGACAAGTTAACCACAAGCTGCACTACAACATCTGCTACAACTGCACATGGCAGCATAACATCAACTGTGGCGTTGCAATGAACACCAGAAAAACCAAAGCCTGTGGAGTGATTTCCATGTGTTTCTGGTCTGCAGTGTTTATCTCAGCCCACCAGATGAAAACATGAACCACTGGGATTGCTTTTTCTGTCAGTCAAGGATACTAATAATGTGAAAACCATATAATGAGAGTTTATTCTTCTATTTTAAAAAATCAATAGTGACTCCTAAAATGTGTTTCTGCCAACTATTCCAAATAATGTAGGTGTGAGGGCACTGTGGGGTGAGGTTTGGCTTGTTAAGGAAAAAAATAACGTTTGTTAAGTAAGGTTCTGCTTAAATAAAATCCTTTTATCGTGTGAGAAAGGAAAAGTAAGATATCATCAGAACCGATGTCAGGCATTTCTAATCACTCGCATATTAAGTTGTAGCTTTACTCCTAACTGGATCCACAGGTTTTGTGTTTGTTCTTTGTGTTTATATGTTTTGCCCGAATTATCTGCTGTCGTTTTCCTGAGAATGAATGAAGTTTCTACAAAATTCATAAAATCATACCATCCAGAAAACTTCTGCTCTGGCACATAAACACTATCTGATAGAAGAAGGTTAATATATACGATCCTGACCCAGAGCCTGCTTCCTCCCCAGAATGCAGAGTGCTAAAGTCATCACACAGCCGGTCTACCACTCCAAACCGGACAGCTAAGAGCCCGTCACGACGCAGCAAGTCCCCTGGTGCAGGTGAGAAAGACGACTGTAGAAACTGTCTGCTTTAGCTCTGCTGTATTCAGACATAGACAAAACAACAGCTGGTAGACAACCTGAGAGGATTTGAGTGCAAAGATGTCTCCCACAAATATAAAACCATCACACCAAGCTGATATGAAGTTACACTCCAAGCACATTTCTGGTTGACATTTGCTGCCTCATCTTAAAGCTCTGGCGAGTGACAAAGCAGTTTGCGAGGTTAACTGAGAGCTGGTGACATAATGCTGAGTAATTAGTTTTCATCATGTTGAAAGGGGAGTTATGCTAGCAAGGACTGGTTTGAAGTCTTTAAGTTCAACCTTTAAGTTATATTATCTGATTTTACTAATCATATGTGCCAAACGTTTTTCTTTTGTCTTTTTGTTTTTGCCTCTGACGCTGCAGTAAGACATGCAGTCCACTACTCAACCAGTCAGTCTCCAATCAAATCCCCAGGTGAGACTCGTGTCACATTATGAGCCTTGCAAAGTAAAACACCCAATCTCATTTTACAGTGAGAAACAAGGGGGAAAAAAACAAGACCTTAAAATGTTTGAAGCACAGCGATCAAGAAAGTTCATCCTAAACAGTTTAACATCCAACCTTGAACTCTGTAGTTAAAGGTTGAGAGAGAAGGCGACAATCATAGAAGATCTTTATTTTTATAACTGCATTTTTGCACTCTTTGTCTGTGATGCTGCTGTGACCAAAAAATCTTCCCCATGGGGGATCAATAAAGGAATATTCTATTCTATTCTATTCTATTCTCCTAGGTACCACCTTGACTTAGCAGTTTCATCTGGACAGTGTTGAGGATTAAGATTAACAAAGAATTTCACAAACTTATTTTCCTCAGTGATCCCTTATTTATTCATGACGTATTCAGACACTAAATGAACCTAGTGCCTCGCCAGCCAACTTTTTAATGCCTTACCGTCACAGGCTGCCCGCCCTGGCCAGGACTAGACCACAGTGTGTCTTTTATTATACACACAGTTATCTAAATTGAAAGCTGCTGCAGAATCCACTCAGTGTAAGACTCGGTGTCCTGATTAGACTCACTCACTCACTCTTTAGCTGGGCTAATTAAATTCTGCTCTAACTGAGCTAAGGTGCTCAGATTTAAACAAAACGTTGAAAATATTAAAGCCTGATGAACCAGTAGAATATTTTAGTCATCCTCAAATATTGCTTCAAAAGTTCCTTCAAAAACGACAAATACCCAGAGGCAGTCTGAGGGAGAAAAAAAACTGCAAGTGCTGGTACAGTGAAACTTAATTTCTGAAATAGCAGTGTAAAGACGCAGCCTGTAGGCAGTGTGAAATGATTTTCCATGGCTCAGCTGGGTTTATGCAGATGAAGAGACGTTTAAGTTTGACGCATTATGCCTCTGTTTGTGCCAGAAACCGAGAGTGTGTGAGCGGGAATAGTCTGTTCTTTAGAGAGTGAATCACTGAAACAAAAGGAGCTCTCACCCCTGCTGTGTGACTCTGCACCTTGTGTTACACACCAATGTACATAATGGAAGCGTCTTATACTGTTGCACAGAGGAAGTGTATTATAATTAGGTAGTGACACCAAAAACAAAGCATTTAACACAACACATGAAACCAGAGAGTTCTATTACAATGTTCAGTGTACAATATTATCATTCAGTTCAACAATTACTTAAACCTGAAGCAAACAAATGTGCACCATATACGGACAATGGAAGAAACAATTATTGCAGATGTAGTGCTTGAAATATAAAGAAGCAGATTATAGGTAAGACTCATTATTAGTTTACCTTTCACCAGCTAAAATAAAGAACAGAAGGGTGACCAGCAGAGTGAAAGAGTAAAAAAAGAAAGTGTCTGCAGATGATTATATGCTTCTAAATCAGTGCGTCCAAACTGCTCATTCTTGAAAAAGTCACTGGGAAACAGTCTGTGACACTCATACAGTAGAGATGCACCGATCCATTTTTTTACAATCCAATCCGATGCCAATACCTGGGCTAAAGGTTTCGGTCGATATCCGATACCGATCCAATACTACCGTTGAATGAATGAACTGTATACCTTGCCCTGTGAGTGAAGGCATCAGGCTTGACATTAGCCTTGTTAAAAAAAGGTAACAAATTAACTTAATATTATTTAATAACAAATAGCAAATTGCACATTAGCACACAGCAAAAATAAGTAAGACTTCCATGTGAACATTTAGTGTAAAAGGACAGACAGACGTAGAATATAGAGCGAATAGAATGACTGTGTTTCTGTGTGTGATATCAATTAAAAGAAAAAAGAATGACTGGATCTGCGTCATTCATCAGATATCCGATCCAGTTAATTTGTCAATACCGGAGCCGATATCTGATCCAACTATCAGATCGGTGCATCCCTATCATACGGTATACAATGAGATAAACACTCTTTAAAATCACGACAGCAGTAACTCTTGTGTTTTCTCTTGTGTCTGTTTCAATAGTGAATGGTGTATCAAGCAGTCAAATATCCACTCCTAAGTCCAACAAGTCCTCCACTCCGTCTCCCACCAGCCCCAGAACTATTGCTAGTTTTAAGGTAAGTAGTACTCTCACCTGTCAGCTTCACATGTCTTTAGTTTGTTTTTTTGTTCGTTCGGCACATTTAATTTGGAAGAATGATGACAAATTCTTATTTCTGATGCATCACTTGTGTATTTGTGCAAAATGGACCCTCCCTGCATCTGTCTTCCACTACCTGCACCAAAAATCTAGCCTTACCGCAACATGTCCAGAACCTGTTTAAACTGAGGGACTCTATTTACAACCCAAGAGGCTGTGTATTATCTGAGAAACTGAGATGGCGAACAAATGTCAACAATTTTTGTGTGTCTGTAAAAGAGGTGAAAATATGAAACGACTGTCCGGTAAAAATTAGAAAATGTAGTACTCTGATAAGCTTTAAGAGACTTTACAAGAATAATGTTGTTTCTCAATATTGTAGAGAATGTAAAGTGTAAAGCATGTTCATTACTCTGTCTGATTTGAAGAGTGAATATATATTGAAGTGTTGATATTTGTATGAAGAGTGTATCTGTATGATGTACTTTATGTATAGTATAAGGGATAGGTCTTCATGAGCATTGCTTCTGCCCACACCCTTTCAGTCATATTTTACTGAAATAGAATCCTAAATCCTAACCTTCACCAGTCGCTGCTGTGGTGCATTACTTGGTTTTCGAGCAGGTCTTTCACTGCAGAGATAAAGTCTGTACTTTAAGGTGGAGGATGAGGCCTGATCGTATTGACCTACTTCACACAAAATGATGAAATATGTCGGTAAAGTTAAGGCAAGAGATCGCCGACTGTCTGACCCACAGATTTGTGTCGAGCACATGTTGCAGCTCTTTGATGTATTTTTGTTGGAGTCTGACACACTAATCTGGTTTATTGATGGACTCTCCAGTGAGCTGCATGTTAGCCTCAGACTACAGAGTTTTTAACTGCTGCAGCCAGCTGGAAAACTTCCTGCAGACACTATGTCTTTGTAAACCCAGTCAAAGACTTATCAGTCCATGGTGATTGAGCCGAATATTAGATTCTATGATTTACTGACAGTCTTTAAAAAATCCCTGGCAGAGGCTGAGTGGAATAACATTTTTGAAAACTATCATTAATGAAGTAGCACAAGGTTGTTAATGATGTAGCTGCCTCTCTCTTTAGTCAGGTGAACTGAAGCCTTAGAAAGGAGTTATGTACCCGCAGAAAAAGCTTTTTTATGTAGCCACTGCTAAGAAAAAACCTTTCGAAGGCGCCGCTTTTTCACTCTGGTCCAGAGGGTCAACCTTTTAGTCTAAATAATAGATCCTTAATTCACATTAATGTACATCAAGGTACAGCAGGACATCACTGTACAGCATGGGAAAGACCATTGGTCTGATTTTTAGGCTGGTGACATAAATTTATGGCTGACATTTTAAAAATATAGCTTTAAGAGGATGAAATTGCCTCTGCTGCGGTCTGCAGAAGTGATGCTCATAACAAATGAATGATTCATTGGCAGCCTTAATGACTTGATGTGCAGTGATAAGTGGGTATACAGAAACAGATCCAGGAGCTCTGACAGGTTTTGAAGGACAAGCTAAAATTAGAGCGAGATTTAAAGAAATGATGTGTGTATATTTTGGGTTAAATTTACAGGCTGTTTATTGTGCTTTTTATATTGACACTGAAGGGAAATCATCTGAAACATTAGAGCAACAAATTGTCAACAGCCAAGGCAAACAAGAAAGTCACCTATCGTTACCAATCAGGGAAATTTGTTGGCCTATGGTTGCCGAGGTGATTTGTGTGAAGGTTTTGCTGTGGGCCTATTGCTCATCTCTATTTTTGTTTTGTTTTTGAATCTGCAGATCCCTCCTTCACATCACAACTCTTTGCCGAATGTAAATGGCTCATTGAACAACCACAAGGAAACAAGTCGGCTGAGTCCAGAGAGTGAGTCTTTTCCTCTCCCCTCCCCTTCTCTCCTCTCCTCTCCTGAGTCATCCACCTGATCTGCCAACTCAGGCAATGCTTATACGTGAACTCCCTCACCCTGTAGCACATGGTGATGACATTGACTGTCACATTCAAATGACTGTCATCTTCTCCCATCAGGACACATTTGCTTACCCATCAAATCTGGCACAGAGTCGGCCTCATGTGGAGGATGAAAGGCAGATTTCTCCCTGCTTTTTGAGCAAATACTTAACTAGATGATTTGAGGCTTGCATGTTTTCTAATACTGCTTCTCAGATTACTAATTGCTACATGAGGATAAGTGGAGTCCCAGTGTGACTTGTCGCTTGTTTGTTGTTTTCTTACACAGCATGTGGTCCCATAATTCAGTCTGTGAACTTGTTGACTTATTGTCATTTTATGAAGCCACAGGACTTGTCTGTGGCCTTTTGTAACCTCTGTCTCTCCTCACTAGTAAACGGAAACCTGCCTGCCTCCACCATCTCGGAGAAATACAAGATCGGCAAGGTCATCGGAGATGGCAACTTTGCAGTGGTCAAAGAGTGTGTGGAGAGGTGCGTGAAAAACATTCAACCACACTAGGAATACTTAATGCCAAGTTGGCAGCTGTGATCATTTCACAGCAGCCTGACACATTGTGCAGCTTAATGAGACACGCATCACGTGTGGTCACTGCTCCATCAGGCTTTTTAAGTCCCGATGACAAGGCATTGTGGAGATGGAAATATCCCATGGATTAAACCCAGTGGTGAATTCACTTCATTAGCCTTTTAATCTCTAAGTCAACACACCGCTTAGGAAGACAGGGGGATGATGATGATGCAAGAAGGGGAAGTGTCTGAGTTCACGTAATCTAACGCAAAGTCCTGGAAAGTAGTTTAAAGCTCCCGCTGGAGTATCTCGAAAACAAACAGTGGTGATCACAGAAAGGGCACAAATGTATGAGTCATGTTACAACCACTTCACTGCTTAATTTCTCCAAGATTGTGTTCTTTGCTGCTCAATTCAACTTAAAGGGATATTCTGGTGTAAAGTTAAGTTAGGGTCAAACACACCGTAACAACGAGTTAGTCACCTCCTCGAGAGATGAATCTTGCCAACCGCTTGCTTCTCTAGTTATACCAACTTTAGTAACGACTGCAGATAGCAATACAGAGAGCCACGCGCTCAACCAAAACGCCACTCTATAGCCACAGATAATGCTCAGAACAGCACCTAACTTCATCAACAGTTCATATGGGGTCCCAGGCACAGCACTAGCTACCAAACATCTTTTTAACTTTGCCTGATTTATTTAGCAAAGAGACTAAACAAAACTTACCTACTCTCTTCCAGCAGCCGCTTGTTTGTACGGAGACCTCCGGGCGAGTCCATCAACTGCAGCGGGGTGACGCAGCTCAAGGAAGAACATTTATGATCATTACTTTATCATTTCCTTAAAGTAATAATCATCATAATAATCATTTTGCACTGCAGACGTGGTAGTTCTTCTGCCTTAGCGTCTCAATCTGATTGCATTTCCATGAAGAAATGATCATAAATATTCTTCCTTGAGCTGCGTCACCCATTGTGCATTGTGGTTCACTTCATTTCTTTTCAACAGGAAACAATGTACGGTCTAACATGGAAAAATATCAGATTTGTTACTTAAACATCAAGGTGTTCCACAGGGCACAGAAGTGGGTCCACTTCTCTTTTTGTCTAAAGTATTGGGATCAGTCTTTGATAACTGACATGTTCAACTTCATTTCAGTGGCACTTATTTGTAAAATTACAAATTTTAGCTTCCCTCCAGTCTGATTTCAGCATTTTACTAGACTGGATTATATCCAATAAACTACTCCTCCTATATAATGATATTTGGTACCAAAAAGAAACTCAAATCCACTGATCATAGCACTTCTCTGCATTAGTAAAAAAGATGTCTGTATTTTCTCACGTAAGTCACATCGGTAACGCTGTCTTTTACGGTACACTTATTACCAGGTAATTAACAGGTAATTACCTAGTAACAACATGAAATTATCTGGTAATTACATGATAACTACTAAGTCAATACTGTCTAGCTACCAGGTAGGTAACCTTCCATCATCATACAAATTTGAAGCCGAATTGCTCTGGTATTTCCAGGATTTTCCCCACTTCCTGGAACCAGTAGCATTGTACACATTTGGCGGGTGAGTCGCTGTGATAATGCTCGGCTCAAACAGCGTATCACTACGCAATCTTCGCACGCCCATAGGCTGTATCAAGTGTCAATCATAGAAAATAAGAACCCCAAATAGCTTTTGAAAATGGAGCTGCAAAGAAAAAAGAAAAAAAGAAAAACTAGAGGGAATTGACTTAGTAGTTATCATGTAATAACCAGATGATTTCATGTTGTTACTAGGTAATTACCTGTTAATTACCTGGTAATGAGTGTACCGTGAAAGAAAGGGTTACCATCACATCTTGATTTTGTTCTAAACAAATTAAATTACTCAGCAAAATTTCACAATATGAACAACAAATATGACTTTTTAGAAGACATCAGTGGAAGAGTGTGAGCTCACTGTTGGGTGTGCTTTAAAGTGAAACAGAGCTGTATTCTAACCTTCTACATCAGTTATGCTGCATGAGGTCAAAGGTGAAACAAACTTGAAACTTGTGACCTGAGATGGAAGTAAAAGACAATCCACCCCCCCAGTGTTGAGTTACCTTTAAAAGTGTCCAGGTCTTTGATCCTACCTGTTTTTTTACGAGCTGTATAATCCTGACTAGTACAGAAAACACATGTTTCCAATAATCTCCCTGTGGTGGTGCTCCAGCTCACCGTAACTGCAGCTCTCCTGTGAGCACTTGATCTGTATTATAGACATAGTTGCAGCGTCAGTGCTGTTTTTATTGTCCGCTCTAATTGCGTTGTTTCTCCTCAGGTCCACAGGAAAAGAATTTGCACTGAAGATCATCGACAAGGCCAAGTGCAGTGGCAAGGTCTCACCCTGTCTCCTTTTTCCTCTCCATCCCCTTCTCTCATTTCTTTTTTTTCCTTTTTGACAGATGAAATGAGAAAGGGATGCACACACTCCTAAAGTGTGTCACACTCATATGTCAGTACTCCACTGTGCATTATTAACAATGACACCCAAAGCACATAGTCACCTGCTTCCTACACAGTTACATTGAGCTTGTAATGTTTAATTCATCCCCTCACAGTAATTATCTCTGCACTTTCACAATTAGGCAATGAAACACACTGAATCACACACCCTTGACACCATTTCAGACTGAATCAACAATGCAGCTTCTTTTTATTAACACAATAGCCTCTGTGTAAACGCTGTGTACTCTTGTTTTCATGATATGTCTCGGCTTGTTTCCAGGAGCATCTCATAGAGAATGAGGTCGCTGTGCTGCGGAGGGTCAAACATCCCAACATCATCATGTTAATAGAGGAGGTGGACACTTCCTCTGAGCTCTACCTGGTGATGGAGCTTGTCAAGGTACAAGAGAGTCTAATAGAGGGTCAGCGCAGTGCTCATTTCTCCGTGCATTTTAGCGTTTAATCAGTTTATTGATGTTGGCGCAGGGAGGGGATTTATTCGATGCCATCACCTCCTCGGCCAAATACACAGAGAGAGATGCCACTGTCATGGTGTACAACCTTGCTGCAGCTCTGAAGTACCTGCACAACATGAGTATCGTCCACAGAGACATTAAACCAGAAAACCTGCTGGTGTGTAAGATTTCTTTTTATAACAATGGAAAACTTTGAGTAAAAAAGGCCCCTAATTGATGATGTGTTAAACTTTAGGTGTTTGAGTATCCAGATGGCACTAAATCACTGAAACTGGGGGACTTTGGTCTGGCCACGGTGGTGGAAGGACCTTTATATACTGTGTGTGGAACACCGACATATGTGGCTCCAGAAATCATCTCGGAGTCGGGGTAAGCTAAATCTAACAGATGTAAAATTACTATTTAAGGCATGTGTATATATATATTGTTTATATCTTGTTTTTCATTCTGTTGTCTTTTCAGTATTTTATTATATTTTGTAGGGCTGCTATAAGAATTTAATTTCCCTTCGGGGATTAATAAAGTCATCTATGTATGTATGGATGTATCTATGTATCTATCTATCTATCTATCTATCTATGTATCTATCTATCTATCTATCTATCTATCTATCTATCTATCTATCTATGTATCTATCTATCTATCTATCTATCTATCTATCTATCTATCTATCTATCTATCTATCTATCTATCTATCTATCTATCTATCTATCTATCTAAAGAAGCATTTTTGGGTTGTTAGTTTAGAAAATTAAAACAGACGCAGAAATGCCATTGAGCTAGTTCAGGCGTGCAACTGGAGCTGCACTGATTTTACAATTGACACAAGTGGCTTTGTAACAGTTGATATTCTAGTCAATATTAGTCATAAAAATCTCAGTCACTTAATCTCTGCAGTATCTTACTGAGATAATTTAGGACCAAAACACTGAAAACAAGTGAAACACTCTAACATGTAAACTGCCAGGTAAGAAGAACTATCCTGTCAGACCAAAAATAAGCTAATATCACCCGGATATAAGATATTTCATGTTACTTAGATTTCAGTTTTTGCAGTGTACAAGTTAACTTTCAGTTATCTCTTTCACCCTCCTCTGTTATCACCGAGCCTGCCCTAACACTAACGCTGTGCTCCGGCTCTCAGCCTCACTACCTCCTCAGCGTCCACCTGCAGGCTCCAATTATAGAGTTATACAGATGAGTTATTGTCTCATCACTCCTCAGATTTCTGCATGTAAAATAAATCTAAGAAGAGTGATGAGGTCGGAGCCTAGATGCCAAATACAAATAACGTTCTGCTGCTGCTAATAAAGCATTACAACATGGGCTGTCTGACTGAACTGCTATTTGTGAAGTTGCAGGGCAGAAAGGTAGAAAAATCGTGTGCAATCAGTTGTATGGAGATCAAATAGAGATTTTGTGTCCCAGCTTAATAAATCAACTGACACACACCATAAAGATTTGTAAAGGAGTTATTTCCTTGTAATTTTATCACACTAAAAACTCTCTTTGTGTGATTTCGACATGTACTTCTCTATAACAGTTTTATATCTGGTGTGTTTTTGTAATAATTGGTAACGCTGGGATGATGAATGTGTCCCTTCTCTTTCCACAGCTACGGTCTGAAGGTGGACATCTGGGCTGCAGGTGTCATCACCTACATCCTCCTGTGTGGCTTCCCTCCATTTAGAAGGTACAGATCCTCAGTGCATTTGTGCTGAAAACATCTTTTTTCTTTGGCCTCATTATTTGCAGATTATTTTTTTTCTTCCTTTTCAATGATCTTTACTCACAAACACAGTTTGATGTGCTGAGTTGTTGTCTCGGGAAGTGTCATGCTTTAGCCTTGGGAGAGGGATTTGATTTTAATTTAGTGACACATGCTCTCAATCTTTAGCTTTTGTGATATCCCAAGACTAGGTGAATGGAAAATATTGTTTATAATCATGCACATTTAGACACATAGAGTGTGGATGTGTGATATTTAATATATATTGAGTTTTACAGTATGGAAAATGTGTTTACTCTGTGTCTTTGTGTCTCTCTAAATGCAGTGAGAGTAACCTCCAGGAAGATCTCTTTGACCAGATTCTTCAGGGGCACCTGGACTTTCCCAGTCCTTACTGGAACAACATCACTGACTCTGCCAAGGTTCGAATCACACACATGTTACAACAGCACATATATATATCTGTATCCCTCAAAGTGGTATTAGATCTAGAAAAGGGTTGAGAGAAGCGATGCACAGGCAAACCTGGACTTTAACGTCATCAGCAAACAGAGTGTGGTTCTGATAGTTCGCTTTAAAGGTCCAAATAATTCAGTTGAAACATACACCTCCATGTGAACCCGCATTGTTCACACTCCTGTAATGACTACTGTCTGCCAAAGGACACAGGAACCCCTCCAGCCCTTGAAATTACTGTCATGTATTAAGGTGACAGCTCGCTCTCAGCATGCAGAACCAGACTGCTAATTAAAGTCCCTGCCGTTACAGTGGCCCTGTCACATCAGACAAGTGCACAGTGAGGGACACCACAGCATGAAACCACTTGCATTTAAGTAGCTGGTGGACATAAAAGTTCTTACAAATGTGCATCATGTAAAATTAAACAAGAAGATGATTCGAGCTTCACTATTTATGTTTGTTTTTGAGGCACAACAGGTAAAATGATGGTAACCTAAAAGGTAAATAAATAAAGTAAATTTTAAAAACTCACTTATTTAAAATTGCTTTTAATATTTAACTGTTTTGTTCATCTTACTGTTTTCATGTCTTTGTTTTATTATCTTGAATTTTACGTACTATGTAAAGCGTCTGAGTGTTTTTAAAAGCACTCTACAAATAAAATGAATTATTATTATTATTATTATTAAATATTCATCATCTGCTACCTCATTGCTTGGCTAATTATTGTCTGTATTAGTCTCAATACTTCCACTGGAACTGGTTTTAGCAAGAAAACTACAGAAAATCTGCTGCGTGTTTTCTCCCTCAGCACCAAAAGATAATACACAGATGCAGCTCGAGGGCCAGGTATTTAACCTGAAGGAGAAATGGAGACCCACACAGAGATAAAAATAGATCATGTTTGTTTCTATTATCCATTTAGTGCCAAGAAACATGACTCTAAAACGGATGCTTATGTTGTAACAGATTGAAATAGTAGCTCTTTCCTCAAAGTTTGGCAATATCAGCTAAAGTTAATGTGCCTCAGATTGTAATGGGAGTTCTGCTTCCACCAAATCTGATTATTACAGTGAACTGAGTTATGCAACCATGGTAACCCAATCTGCATAGCATCATCTTTTATTCACAGTACAATCAAGAAATCAGTTCCATCAAGTTACAGCTCAGTACTGAGTGTGTTTGTTGTTGGACGTAGATCACATTGATGAAGTGGAGCTGAAACATAGTGAAGCCTGTAAACTGCTGCTGTCCTTCGTTGCAGGAGCTGATAGGAAAAATGCTGACGGTCAATGCTGAGGCCCGATACACAGCACAAGACATCCTCTCCCACCCTTGGGTCACGGTATCTCACAGCCCTGTTTTTTTGATTTGTTTCTGCTCATGTTTGTTTCCACATAACTTCTGTTTTTACTCGGGAACATGGATGATGTCTCTGTACCATACCACCTCATCTCATTGCATGTCTGTGTGTATGTGTTAGGATGATGCAGTCATGGAGAACAACATGAAGATGGAGGTCACAGGTAAACTGAAGACACATTTTGACACTGCGCCTAAGTACAACAACACCACAGCTGGGGTGTCGGTCATTATGGTAAGCACCGAGAACTGTACACAAAGCATTTGTAATTGAGACACTCCCATCATCACATTTACTGAGGACATTTTCAACAATACTCTTTTACCCCTCATGTGATTTTGGACTTTCAATGATTCTTGTAAGATTCAAAAATTGAGGGGTTTACGGGGATTGAATTCTAATCACAGAGGTGTCTTCAACAGCTTCAACATGTCAGGCCGTTTTCCAAACTGTTCTTGCATAGCAGGGAATGCTTGACCCAGATAGAGAAAATTGAGCCCTACTAATTCACTTTTCATGAAGCCCATGCCCAAAAATATGTGGCCTAAATCATCGTCCAAAAACAACTCGCGGTGCTGTAAACATGTCTGACAAGGTCTTAGAGATGAACGATCAGTGGGAGGTAATAGAGCCTCATGTTACACACAAATGGAAAATGGACCGTACGACACAGAGCGCTGCCTTTTAATTTCGCTTGTTTGATGCCATTATGTGTGTTCGGTTATTTACATATGGTGGCAGCAGGTGGAGATGTTGCAGCTGAGGGCACACTGCCAGTGTTACCCATCAAAAAGAATACCTTGGTGGTCCATCAAAGCATATTTGTCAACCATTTATATATTTTTTTTATGTAAGATAACCATCTGCTACAACCAGACAGAGAGAGAGACTTAAATGATAACATAAAGATCTGGCAGAGCAGACTTCGGGGTCCTTTCAAATTTAAAGCATTTATGCCAAAAGAGAAAATAAGGTCACGTAACAAGGTTAACGTAACAGTTTAATGAAAGCACTATAATGAGGAGTGTTTTTTGAGGACTGTCTTGCCTAAAGCAGAAGGACAAACTGAGTTATTTTGGCCCTCGTAAAAATAAGAGTATCTTCTTATGACTTGAGTGTGTCCAAACATTCCTAGCTGGAGGCAGAAGAAGTCATTACCTTATTGTTCACATTCTTCCTTTCTGTCAGATCCAAACTTCACCTGCATCACTTCCTGTTGTACAGTTTGACTTCCAGTTTTTCCCCTCCCCATGTCATCAGGTCACCCTACCCATCAGCCCCTGCTCTTTTGTCTGTCTCGCTGAACTGAAAGCAGGAAACGGGAGGGGGCTGTCTCATGAGAAATTTGATTTGATCTCCTCTGTAAAGAGCCTCATCTTTGTTGTAAATCTCATTTGACAGTTTGAGGTGTAAGCTCGGGCCATGACCTCGCCCCCCCCCCCCCTCCTCCCCTTCTTCCTCATCCACCTCCTCTTCCTCCATCCTCTTCTCCACCCCTCCTTCACACTCGACCCAGGACCACAGGGGACGCCTGGAGCTGAGAGCCTGGTACACACTTCATACACCCCCGCCCCCCCACCCTCACTCTGCTCCATTCTGCTGGCCTTCTTCCTTTGCAGCCATCACCCTTCCCCTCACACCTCCCCCTCTGCTCTCCCTCCCTTCCTTCCTCTTCCTTCCTGTTTCTTTCTCAGGCCCCCCTGCCCCTCTTCTCTGGTCTCCAGCTGCAGTAACCCCTCACTATCACTAACTGGAGCTCACTAATGCCTTCCCAACATGCACTCTGCCCTGGATTCACCCGTCAGTACTCTGCCTCCTCACTCACATGTCATCCTATTTGTTTCCGAAACAGAAACGTCTTGACTGGCTGTGTCAAAAATCTCGTGTTTTGAAGGATGTTTGCTAAAGCACATTGTCACTCATAATGTTCACAGTGCTAACGCAGTCTGCAGTGTTATTTTGCTCCCCTCTCTGCTAATAAAATCAGCTTTCTTCAACAAATCTTTACTTTTAGCTCAGCATGGTTAATGGTGCTGTGGCGCCACCTTGTGGAGAATAGAGAACTGTGCTGTACAGCTCTAGATTGCTGTAGAAATAGATATAAACAAATGCAGCTTTATTATATTAGATACAAGATCCACCTGTACAGTTTAAAGACAAGGAAGACTGCATTCAGTGTTTGTGACACTCAGTGCAAATTATATGGAAAACCCACCTCTCTAAAATTAAGTAAGAAATACGGTTTGTAATAGATTTAGTCCTTACTTATATTTAAATATACTGGAAGCCAATACAGAGACTTTAAAATGGGAATCCTCTTTCTTTCTGGTCTTCATCAGTATTCTTGTTGCTGAGTTTTAGAGCAGCTGAAGCAGGCAGATGTTCAATTTGAAGAGACCAGAAAGAGGGGTGTTACAACCCTCAATTCTACATGTGATAAAAGCATGAACTAGAGTCTCCACATTGGCTTGAGAAAGAAACTGTTGCACTCTTGTGATATTTTTCACTTTTTTAGATATTTCTCTAAGCTAAGGTCAGAGTCAAGGGTCTGCTGACAGGGGTTTAAAGAAAGTTTTGATCTTCTTGTGTTGGGCCCCAGTACAGATGACTAAAACCTGAGTTTTGTCCTGGTTAAGCATTAAAAAGTCCTCTGCCATGAGTTGATATGTAGAATACAGTCAATTGATAATAGAGTTGTTGAACCTGATGAGATGTCACTTCATAAGCGCTCAGGTGTGCCTCTGTAAAAGAATGGGTAACACTTTACTTGACGCCTATCTCTATCACCCATTATAAACGTATGTATAATACGTTATTATCACATTATAGCACTGTACAATTATAGTTATAAACACTCATAAATGATCATAATGATTTGTAATAATAATATAACACATTATAAAGCATTTTATCATGACTTACAAGGTCAGGTATTATAATGTGTTATAACTGTTAACAACCCACTGACAATGCCCACATAGATAATGCATTATACATTTATTTATGATGTGTTATAATTTGCTTCAAAACTTGTATAACTATCATTATAAACACTCATTAATTAACATAAGACTTCATAACAATAAGCACATGATAATACCTGACCTTGTAAGTCATAATAAAATTCTTTATAATGTGTTGTGATTATTGCTATAAAGCATTATGTTATAGTTATACAGTGCTATAATGTGATAATAACACATTATACATATATTTATAATGCGTTATAAATAAGTGTTACCAAAAATGTTATTCCTTTGATTTATTTGACAAGTTTATTTACATCATCAGGACAGGAGATGTGGGGTTTGATTGAATAATCCCAGTGCTCATGTTTATAGTATTTAAAGCTACTGTAAGGAGATTTTGGCGAGCCATCAAACAGAATGATACGCATGCTGCTGCCTCTTAATCAGCTACAAAAGCAAACAAGACCATCTGAAACAAGATTGACTATTTTGACTCTGTCATTTTCAACACCTGTAATTGCTGGCATGCGTTTCTTGTCGGATCAAGTGTGCTCAAAAAGTTCCTCACAGAGTTATCAAAGGAGATTTCGGGCTCATTCATGAGTCTCTTTTTAATTAAACAGAGCCAACAGTTGCACGCTTAAATTGATAATTTGTTGTTTTATTCGTTTAGCTAAAAAACCATTTAATCACATCTTAACACAGCTCTACTCTACTGGATGTGATGTAGATCCAGTGTAGCTCCCATGTGTTTCCTCCTGAACTAGTCTCTCAGTCTTACACATTGTTCCAGTTCAGTCCTTTAAAGAGCAAACATTTGGATTATGACCGAACTATCTGAAACCTGATTAAGACTGAGCTGGAACAACATCTGTCCACTGGCTGTCATGCTTGTTGTGTTGACTTTATTTTTGTGACGCTGTGAGTAAGACCAGTCTCTGTCCCTTTTTTGCTTTTTTTCCCCTCTCCCTGCATTACGCCCCTCTGATTTAGCTCCAAGGCAATGGTATGTACTAACACTGAACGCTCTGCCTCATCTGTGCTGCTGCTGCTGCTGAGACTCAGCACAAGGGCAAATGAGGAACATGACATTTACTGTTTCAGTCTTTCATATGTTGATCACATCATTGGTTTTACTTGACATAAAAGCATCAAACATACAAACATCTAATGAATGAAAGAGTAAACGTCTAGTTTCTCATTTGCCCTCTCTGCACTGAAACAATAATGATCTTTTTTTCCTTACTTGTGGGGTCTGTGTACTGTGCCAAGCATACTGTCCTTTTGTTCAAGCATATTTCAGTTATTTGTGTTCATTTTCATTTCATCATGTTTCTCGTTTACTCATAAAGATCATTGAGAATAAAAACTGAGTTAGAAGTTCATGATTGTAGAAATAAGAAGAAAACACATTACTGATCCTTCAAGCTAAAACTCCTACAGGACTACAGAATTTTAATAAGACCCCCTGAATTTGGTGTAGATTGACCTTAGATACCTCTGCTGTCTCAGCTTTAAAAAGAGTTTCAGAAATCAAGGATAATGGTCTTTCTTTGTGTCTGTTTTCCCAGAACACAGCTCTAGATAAGGAGACCCTCCAGGTCACCAATGGTCGCCGCCCAGGGCCCAAAAGCAAGCCGTGTCCATCATCATCATCAGCCGGTAAAAAAGTCCCATCTGCCGTCCTATCAAAGTCAGGGGCAGCCTCTCCAACCAAACGTATACCCTGTGAAAAAGAACCAAAACCTGCTGCTGCCACTGCGGCCGCTTTCCTCGGCACACCTGAGATGGGTGAGACAGCTGTGCCTCCCTCTGCTCCGGTTAGTTCGCTCCGTTTCTCCCCTTCACCGACCGCTGAAACTCTCCCTCTCAGCTCTTTGTCTGTTTCTTCTCTCCCCGAGTTAAAAACATCACCAACATCACCCTCCTGCACCCCCTATTTATCACTTGAACCTCCAACACCCTCCTCTCCTCCTGAGCTTTTCACCCAAACAACTCCCTCTACACCTGTCTCTGCTCCTTCCCCATCAACTCCAACCAAAGCAGTCCCAACCCCGACTGGACAAGCTACTCTTTCTCCTCCTCCTTCCCCGGAAAAACTGGCCTCAAGCCAGACCCAACCAGATCTTCCTTCTCCATCTTCTCCCACCAAACTTGAACCTCCTTCTCCCTCTTCTCCCACCAAACTTGATTCTCCTTCCCCCTCTTCTCCCACCAAACTTGATTCTCCTTCTCCCTCTTCTCCCACCAAACTTGATTCTCCTCCTCCCTCTTTTCCCACCAAACTTGATTCTCCTTCTCCCTCTCCTCCCACCAAGCCCGACACTGCTTCCCCCTCCTCTCTCAGCAAACTTGATGACCCCCCTCCCTCCTCTTCTCCCGCCGAGCTTGACACTGCCCTTCCCTTTTCTCCTTCCAAACTTAACTCTTCTCTCTCTTCTCCCACCATGCACGACACTTTTTCTCCCTCTTGTCAGACCATCCTTGAGTCTGCCTCTCCCTCTTCTCCAAACAAATTAGCTTTTCACCCTGAGTCTTCTCCCTCCAAAACATCTTCTCTTCCCTCCCCCTCTCCCCCGGGTTCCCCCTCTATTCCCAATAAGCAAGCCCTGTCATCGCCAACCAAAGATGTGGCGTCCCTGTCTCTCTCCCCTACTGAACAAGCTTCTCCCTCCCCACTTTCCCCCATCAAACCTGTTGTGTTTTTCCCTCTCTCCTCCCCAACCAAACAAGGACCCCCTTCCCCTTCCTCAATCCATCCAATGCTGTTCCCCTCTCCTCCCTCAACACCCCCTAGATCCACAACCCCTCCCTCTCCCAGTCATCTCCCTGATAATGAGGAGCTTATGGAGCAGTTTTAGGTTAATTCTCCGGCTGGTGTCACACCTCTCTCGCTCCAAACCTTACCATGTGTGGATCAGAAAAACACAGGAGGAGTGGGCTGATACTCCACCTCAAGCGTTTTCAGTTGCTGTAAGCTGAGCCAGGAACATCTGTGTCTACGTTTTTTCTTATTCACAGCCAACTCATTTCCAGAGACAGATGATCGGAGGCGTTTTCTGAAAGTTAATCAACTGTATTTATGTTTGTATTTATCAACAAAGGGAATGAACTGAATATATCTCTATTCGGAGTGGTTTGTCTTTGGCAGTCATGTTCACGTTCTTTTATTTATTATCTCATGTTGACTCTCTGTGGCTGTGTTGTAAATAGTAATTCATCACACACATCCTGTGAAACTCTTTTCTGCTTATTAAAGAAACAGTGTGTCCCATAATAAAAGTATTTGAGCATATCAAATGTCTGAATTTGCTAGCTTAGCTGTCTGTAGTGTACCAACTTTAACCACTACCAGTAATTCCTCTGACCACAGCCAATCCTGATGGAACCTGCAAATATACACTTGAACTTAAGACTCTCCCAAGTGTCCCAAATACAGTGGGTGACAAAATAGCAACCCAAGAACTGAAAGGCAAAAACACTAGTGAGAAAGATTGTAATTTTGTATTAAAATTGTGCATGTAAGAGAAATTAAATTTGACAGCTTTCACATTATTTTATACAACGGAGTATTAGGGCCACATTAAGGAAAAAAATCAAGACTTGGAGATTAAAGCCATGAATTTTGGAGAATTAAGTCGAGAATAAAATCGTAATAAAATCATTACTTGCGAGAATAAAATCATAATAAAATCATTACTTATGAGAATAGAGTTGTAATTAAGTCATTACTTATGAAAGTAAAGTCTTAATATAGTAATTATACATGAGAATTAAGTTGTTAAGTAATCACTTAAATACTTTATGACTTTATTCTCGTTACTAATGACTTTATTCTTGTAAATTAACGACTTTAATTTCTAAGTTTTTTTTTTTCTTAATGTGGCCCCAATACTCCGTTGTGATTTTATAAGGTGGATTCATCCAAATTACAGATAATCTGTGTGTTATTGCTTTCTTTTTGGCTTGTGACACTGTTGCACATTTTCAGTAGTTCAGTAGGACATTTTATCCAGAGATTAAAGTTGTTAAATTGAAAAGTGTTAAAAGGCCAAAGGATATAAAATGATCCTTCTATTCCTGAGAGAAAAGCAAACATCAGAGGAAATTTAACACAACTTCATCCTTTTTTTCAGAGCCTCTCAAATTTATCTTGTAGGATTCAAAATCAAAAGTGGAACCACTTGTATAGTCATGATCTGAGGATTAGGTTTGAAGAAAGTAGCCCCAGCGATGCAGTGAAGTTGAACGCAAATAGCCAACTGAGCAAATTTTGATTTAAAAGAGGTCTAATAAACATCTAAATGTAGCCTAGAGGACTAAAATCAGGCTACCACAGGTCTAAAAATGAAAGTTTTTTGGACGTCTAAATTTAGACCAAGTCCAAATCTGGACTATATCTAAACTACACTGCATATTGCTCAACGGCTATCATAATTATTTTGGTTTAGTACTTGAAGACCAATTATGCAACTCACAGTTACTTTTTGGAATAAATAATTATTGAATAATGGAAATTAAGTCTAAAATAACTAGTGTGAGGCTCAGTGTGAGGCTTGCATGTTTTTGTAGAATTACAGCTTTTGATTGTATCTGCATTATTTTGTGAATGACCCTACAGAAAAATCAAAGTCACAATAAAACTCACAGAGAAAAATCAGCTTTAAAATAATAGGGACATCCCTTACCTCCCTCCCCAAAAGCTAAAAAAAAAAAAAAAGTCCATCTTGATTGAAACTAATATCTAAATTTTACTCAAAGTGAGCAAAATGAAAAGTTTGACTTGCATAAACCGACCCCATCAGGTGTACGTGTCTTTTTGAGTTCTGGTTTGGTTGAGTATTTTGTTAACCCACTGTGTTTTATAGACACGCTGACTCATATCCACACATGCTGTTGGTATTATTTGATGTGATCATCCGAGTTGTACATAGTATGAAGAACCTTAGCTGTCCACCTGAAACTTGAACGTTTGTTTTTTGCCTCTGTGCATGTGAGCAGCTGTAAAAGCTGAACATAGAAATAGAGAAAATAGATCCAACAGATATAAAACCAAATAGGTTTGTTTTAACGAACACTTGTCAGAGAACTCTACTGCTTCATGCTAGAGCTAACGCTGCATAGAAAGGACATGCACTGACCTGCTGATGTGATTCCCACTGATTATTCCAGTCTGCATGAAACTTCCCCTTTAAGCTTTTACAGAAACAGGTTTTGATCTGTTGGATTTAAATGAATGAATGTGTTTGTCAAGGTGGTGGGTTTGTGCCTGACATTAGCAAACAACTCACAGCTTAATGATGCCTTTACGGAAACCAACTTGGCTTAAAAAAATCATGTCCCACCCTAGAAATAAGTGATAGGTGATCCTTGTTTTGTATGTGTGTGAAACGCCACATCTCCACTCCAGGCTGGTGTCACCTGGAGGGCTTTACCCTTCATCTGCTGCCTCTGAACCTCCTCAGGACCTCCAAGCTGCATGTATACCCCCTTGCCTCCTGGTACATGCTTTCCTTTAGCTTCCTTTTATGTATATGGAGTTAAAAGTAGATTTTCATAAGCAGTTTGTAAAGGGAAATTTGTATGAAAAGACAGTTTTAACTGGGATTCTCGTCTGTGACAAACTGGGGTTTTGTAAGGAATCGAGTGGCTGCTTCAATGTCCTCCTGTTTTCAAACAGCAGTACAGCAAAAATAAAAGTGCATCAAAAAGACCTCTTTGCCTCTGTTGACTTTTTAGGGGTGTGAAAACAGATTTTGGCCACTAGAGCGAGCTGTTGAGCCGTGTTGAGTGAAACACAGGGCGCTAAGGAAAAGTCAAGTTATAAAATTCAATTTTATTGTCAGAACTCAGCACACAAAACACTCCAAAATGATTGCAAAAAATATTGATAGATAACAGCAGTTTTCTTATAACCACATGAAAGCGCAGACTCCAGAGGAATGTTTTCTTCAAAATCAAAAGGTACAAGTGGACGTTTATTTTACTCAGGACCAAAGAAACATGTCACTTTGTCATTTCAGTGCTCAATCATATCTTAACTTGATCACTCATGTGGTTTATACATCTGTGATGAGCAAAAAGAAAGTCCATCTTACTCTGCAGGGATCTGCACTCACAGGGAAGATGGTGAACAGCTGGCTTGAGCTTCGGTTATGATGCAAGGATTTTTGTTTAGTGACTTATTAGCAATTTAAAAATCTTTTTCTTTCACTTAAAGAGAAAAAAAGTCATATTTTTGTTTCTTATGTCTATTAGAAATGTGGCCGTAGAAAAGTATATTCGGTGACACTAGTCTGCTGCCATCCTTGTTAGCTCAAAGCTCATCTTTGTCATCACAGAGTGTACGTTCGTGGTCATGTTTTCAATGAGAATGCGACAGGTCTGTGCTGATATGTTTTCTATGGGTTGTGCACATTTATGCAATCTCTCCGCAAGCACAGAGGTACAGAGGGAATGGAAATTTTTAAATACAGATGACTACATTTAAACATAATATATAGTTATTTATATATGTAAATATGTATATTCCCTCTTTGTTTATCCTTCTGTCCAGTACATTTAATATTTATTCAAACATTTCAAATCTACCAGCCAGAAAATGGCAAAAAGCTGTGGTGCCAAAATGGCAGAAAGCAAGTGAATGAGAGCTCTATAATAATCAGTATTCCCCACATACACACCTACAAGAAAAGAAAAAGAATCACTCAGCCTAAAGTACACAAATATTTGGATTTGAAGTCAAAAGGTTTCTCACTATCCCACTTCTCTTTTACCTGGAGGAGATGAAAATAGACTCTTACAGCTAAAAATAGATTTGTTTTTAACCGTACAATAATGTAACCCCCACCCTATGATTTATATGAAAAGTTTCTATCTGATCTACAAAATATAGCAATGCCCTTTTTAAAAATAGTTTTTACTATGACAGGACATAGAGTTTTTGTTTGTCTTCTTTCACTGAGATACATTCAGGATATCAGGGTGTGTAGACAGCAAAGTGCCTTTGTCAAGAGTTCACACTTCAAAAGTTTCGCTTTTTGTCAGTTTCCGTCTCTGTCAGTCGGGGTTGCTGCTGTCGGTTCAGTACCTGGTCTGGTACTCGTGATGCCACCGGTTAAAGTCGTTGTAGAAGAGGACGATGCTCCCGGACGCCATGCCAGTTATGATGCACCTAAGATAGTTAAGAGGGGGAAAAGTGCATTTTTTTTTCATCAGTAACTCTTTATTTGAACATCTCCATCCGGAAATCTGCAGGATAAATAACTTTCGATATCGAGCTCAACTGTCTCCAGTTTCTGTAGGAGAATTTACATGAAACTTTTCCACTAAGTCGCAGAATATCAAGATCTGCCTTTCAAATGTGAGCTGTCTTAAAATTATGCAACAGTGTGAAAGTGTTTAAAACTAAAGAAGTGACTGTGCACTAATTTAAACAAATGTATAAATTCTGCTAAATATCACCAAATACTACATATTGCATCTTTGAACAGCTGTATATAGACGACAATGGAAAATATAGTATTGATTTAGTATCAATGCTACTTTATTGATTGACAGCATAGTTTTAAATCTGGAAAAAAATGTCTACCATAATCTCTGCTAAACTGGTCTGCAGAGTGTGGCTAACATTACCAGTGCTAGCATTATCAGCCTTTAGTTCTCCCTGTATGTCAATATTTGCATGTCTGCACCACCGCCGATTAGCCTAACTAATCATACACGAGACTTTACTTTCTGTATCAGAATACTGCCAGACCATGCTGCATCTGTGTCATCTGTGTTTGTTTACATCCATATAGCAAAGTGTTGAGGCTGAAGTCATTAACTCAGCCCCTGCTTGTAATTCTGACATAGGGCCACAAAGTGACAATGTTTCATTGTATGACTAACTAAACGTGGACACAACGACTAAAAGAGATCAAATGTAAATTTACACAGAACAAGAAAACGACAGAAAGTCCTCACATTTAAAGACAGAAAACAAGAGTCAGTTTTCTTTTCCAAAATCTTCATTTCTTGCAATTGTTCGCAACTTTAACTTGAAAAATAGGAATTTTAGTTAAAATAGATTGTTTATTCCTTTCTGTTCAGTACACATCCCTCTCTTTCCCTTCTGACTGGCTTTATTTTCAGTCACTGCTTTATGTGTCTTATCTATTTCACTGATTTATATTATTCATTCTCGTCCTTTTTTTTTCTGCAGACATCTTTTCACATCTTTGGTCCTCATGTCATTTCGTTTCTGTGTATATACATATTTCTAGAATGACAATGCACTGTATAAACCACTCATTTTACAGCTGCTATATGAATACAGCTCTTGTATTAAATACATAGAATACTACTTTATGTATTTAATAATACAAATAATAAATATTTCAGCTACTTTGACTGTACCAGTCTCGACTAAACAAAACTGAAGGTCACTCTTCATTCTGTGAGAGCGTAGCTGTTTATTACCTTTGGTCATGGGACATAGCCATGGAGCGGATTCCTGCGTCACAGCCTGGGTAGGTGAAGAGCTGTTTGAGGTTGTGGACCTGCCAGACAGAAACTACACCTCCATCTCCACCTGTGAGCAGATACTGACCGTCACGGCTGAGAAGCATGGCCTAGAAGAGAGAAAAAGAAGGAAGTTTGTCATGGAGTTTTTGTTCGTTTGTGTTACTTCCTAATCACTCTTGATTATTATTACTATTTATATGTATAAAGTGACCTAAATGCCTGATTTTTCTTTCAATTCTTAATGCTTCAATAGTACAAACAGAAAACAAGACGGGTGTTATATCTATTCAGTCTGGACCCACATGTATAAAAGCCTGTGAAAAGGCCTGGTGATCTGGGACCAGTTTATCTCTCAAGTCAGAATAAAGCTCATGCTGCGAGGTCATGTGATCCCACAAAAGAGGCCGGGTCAGAACCGCCTCTCCCCTGGGTCTTTCTGTACACAGACCCTGACTTGCTACACGATGGCTCCCCACAGTGAGGCTCAGAGATTTACTCTTCTCATCTGCTTTTCCTGCAAACTGTAACAGCTGAACGACTCCCCCGGGAGTCAGACATGCACAAATCAGCTCGTGTGTTGGAGTCTATTATGGGCGCTGGAAGCTGAAAGTGAACTAGTCAGGGGCATCAATCAACGAGTGAGCACGGCCGACGAAATGACGAGGCAGAATGTGAGTTCTAAAAGCAGCAAATGACACTAATTTAGAGCTTTACTCCTTTGTGGTTTTTACGACACCGGCGTTCAGCTGCAGCAGCCTCTCTGCAGTGAGTCAGCAGGACGCTTCAGTCATCAGCTGCATGTGTGTCGGATCAGGAGCAGATTAAACGGAAAAATGAAACTTCAACTTTGGTGCAAGTCATTTTCAGGAACTTGACTTGGTTGGGAAAACATAAATAAGCCTTCATGAACTGTACACAGTGGATGGACGGGGAGAGTGCTGCCTCAATTACCTAAATTCTTTGTTTATAAAAACCTTTTGTGGCATTTCCTATCAGGCTGTGAATTAAATGAGCTCTGTTTCTCATTTCCATCACTTTAGACGGACGTGAAGCTCGCACGAGAAGGCGCTCGCACAAACAGGAAAATACTGAAGAGGCAAACACTGATGCGTTTGCACGCTGGCAGGCAGCATCGAGAACAAATGAAGCCTAATTGTTGTGTTGGATCATCATCCAGGATGGCTGGGAATGAAGCATGACAGAGTGCAGCGCTGCGTTGATTTGTGCGCAGTGGGTCTGTTTTGTGTGTATGGTACTTGTCTTGTGTATCAACATTCAGAGTTAATCTGACAACAACGATAAAAAATGATGTGCAGTTCAGCAGATCATGATCGGTGTGTTTTACTGAAGTGTGGTGCAAATTAGTGCGTGAGAAAAGGAATGTGATTCATCATGGCTGACAGTCAATTTAGCACATTTGATAAAAAAATAGTACATTAGTACGTAGTACAATAATACATTTAAAGCCGCATAACTTGGTTTTCAGGCACTAGAAGTAGCAAAAGAGTCCAAACCAAAAGACTGACATCTTTGTGATCAACATTTTAACAAAAGGATTTTCATCTGGAGTCACATTTGTGTCTCATGAATTTAACTCCAAAGTTTTCTCATATTTCCAATTAGGCCTGGGCAATAAATCGAAAATTTACTGATACTGAAATTTACGACAATAACCAACGTCATTTTGCCCATATGGGTATTTTTCGGTGTCAAAAACATAAATAAATAAAAGTTGGTTTTGGATGTGTGTAGGTAGGTTTTAAGGCCACTTTTAGACGGAAACGGTCTCCATAGAAAACGGAAAAATTTAGTTTCGTTTAGGGGGGTCCGTTTAGACGGCAGCTGCGTTTTCAGGAGATGAAAACGTTACAAAGTGACAAACCCCCTCCAGAGTGGAAATGTTGTAAACGCTCTGCTAGTCCCGCTTTCGTCAAAAAAAAAAAAGTACAAAAACGCTGAAAACGGTCGAACATGTGACGCCATGGCTCACGTCGGCTCATGTTTATGACATCATAGCCATGCGCAGCTTCCTTGAAAATAACAACAGCAACCATGCTAGACATTCGAGTCGTGCTGTCGTTATTATTGAACGGGCAGGAGCTCAATTTCGACCTGTACGGAATCCTCACGGATCATACTGCTCAGCAGAGGAGGCGTCTGAATTATTTGCATCAAGTAATTAATGTAGAACGGAAGTTGTTCTACGTATGCGTTGTTGGTCTATATGTGAGCGCGGTCACACCGACACGCGCCACCTAGCGACCTGGCATGCACATTACAGCGTTTTCAACCACATTGCGTTTTTATGTAAACACAGCATAAAAACTGAGAACGAAACGGCACTTTTCCGTTTTCTATGGAGACTGTTTCCGTCTAAAAGTGGCCTAAGACACTGTCCTGTGTCGGAGACGTGACTCCACCCCATCCAGTCCGTAACAAAGAGGGAAAGACAGGTGAGAAGATGGAGGACGGTTCAAAAGTTGTAGTGGCTGAAGTGGCCGCTGAAGTAGACAAAGGTTATGTTGGAGGGGTTAGCAGATTGTGGAGTAGTTATCGTTCATCTATCGTTATCGAGGTGAACTGCTCAATATATCGTGAAATTGATTTGAGGCCATATCGCCCAGCCCTATTTCCGATCATGAAGGAATTATATTAAATTATATATTATATTATATTATCACATTTTTGTGCTGCTGTTATAAAGAAGTGTTAAGGTCCACATTAAAAAGGAGAGAAGCTCATGAGAGTACATCTGTCTGTTTCTCTCTGCAGAGCAAGAGAAAATGAAAAACAGTACCACTACGTCCACTAGGGGGCCAAAATCCCTGCACACTTAAAGATTCTCACAGGAACTCCCTCCACGTGGACCTGAGCTATGTCCCCCTGAAAGACTGAGCTCAAACAGACCCTCACATGTGTCCACCAGATCTTCTTAGAGTCTCCTCAAATCCAGGTTTAAGTCTGAGTCAGGTTTGATGATAGCCCTCTGACAGGATGGACAGACAAACAACCCAAACACACAATATACCACCATCCTCCAGTTCAGGGGAGGAAAAAACTCTTCCCTTCACTACGAACACAGCTCCTGCTTTCTGCTGCTCACTTTTCTACAACATTCTGCTCAAACAGAAACCACGCTGCACAATAATGGCAAAGACTTCATAATGAGAAGTCCGGAGGAGCTACTGTGTTGTATTAATGTCCGCCTGTATAAACTAATGGAGTCCATGACCTTACAGGAGCTCAGCAGGAGGCAGCAGAGCTGGCAGACATGTCAGCCAGGCCAGGTAGGAGGCTGCAGACAGACATTATAAATCAGACCTCTGCCACTGGGCGGTCAAACAAGATGGCCGGCGGCTCTGTGGGAGCTAAGATGGCTGCCTGGGATCGGGTGACTAAAAAATGACTCTAGCAGAAACACATGCACTTTTAATGCCCATATTTCCTACTTCTTTCGGGGGACCAGCGGGTGGATTGTGAGGGCTGGGGAAGGTAAAAAGTTGAATTTATGGTGCTGTTAATCCCCCCGTTACACGGCCGATGGCGGGGAAAGAACTGCTGCGATGGTTACACTGCCTGAGTTATACCAGTACTTAAAAGACTGTAATCCATTCAGTATGGCTTCTGTCACTCGATTCTGCTATTAGACTAAGATGCCGACTGTTAGCCTGTCATCTAACCTCTGACTCCAGACCCTTATAAATTCACAGAGCAAACATTTTCTCTCTTCCTCAGTCCTGCTCTTTTTTTTTTTCAGAGTGGATCTCGCAGGCCAGCACAAACACTTATTTATCCCGGAGTCATACTGCGCTGAGCCTCTGCAGTCTGACAAGATTGATTCTGGTGTGTACATGAGTGCACTAAACACTGTTGGGAGTCTCAGACCAGGAGGGCTTAGGTAGGGGGGAATTTGGACTCTCACAGAGTCACTCCAAGATGTTGGGATTTTCCTAATACCATCTGACATGAATGGAATTTACAGCAGCAGAGGAAAAGCCAGCTCTCTGCTCCCAAGATGCAACTTTTCTCTGTTGGAGGATCTCTGGGAAAAGTGCGATCTCCTCGAGCCTCTAAACACGTCATAACCTCTTTTGGAAGATTCGATAAAATACGCTGCTGAACACTTAAAGCTCTCGAATGATGTGAAAATAATCAACCAGCGTTAATTTGTGTGTGCTCGTTTCTCCGGCTCCTGCAGGTTGTATTTGTGGTTTTTTGCGTGGGAGCTGGTTTGGGCCGGCTGGCAGGTTTGAAACCCGGGCACGAGAGGTTTTCTAATAGGAAACAGGCGTGCGGCTGTCTGTCAGAGCCAGCTTACATTTCCCAGGCCAAACCGGAAACACAGGGTCAGGAAACCAAAGGCAGTAGCCGCTATCTTGTGTCACTCGAACCACCGGGGAGGAAATGTGGGAAACGGGGAATGTGTCGTCTTGCACTGGAGGGTAGTTAATGGTGCCGATGTCCAGAGCTGACCACTCCTCTTTTGGAATGTTCTCCACCAGCGCCGCCAACACAATTTGACCTGACAACGTGGCCTTGGATCAAAAAAAAGCATGAGTGTGTGCGTGTGAAAGGAAATAAAAGGGATGTGGAGGCGCGTTTCGCCTCCAGGCACGCCGACCATTACCTTTCTCAGATCTCAGCCCAAAAGAGATCCTTTAATCAGTGAGAGGCCTGATGTGGTGCAGGCCTACATCTGAACGTGCAGTTTCACATGCGTGCTCATGTAGATTTCCCTCACCTTGATGCTGTCCTCCACCTCCATGTGTCCCAGCAGTTTGCCGTTGATGCTGAAGAGGCAGAACAATCCCTTGTCGTAGTAAATCATGCAGTGTCCCTCTGTGGACGACTGGATGAGACGAGGACGCAGGCAGCGCTCTGGGCCCTCCAGGGTCCGCAGCAGGTCCCCATTCATGGAATGGATCAGACAAGGACCCTCTGGAGACACAAGACAGCACGAGGGATTAGGTTGGAAAAAATGTTACCGTCTCTAATCTGAGAGGCTCTTGTGGTTTTCCTTGAATTTATTTGTGTAAAAAAAAATTCAAAGGTTTAATTTTTAAAAGTTCCTCTGACGTTTTTTAACCTCTTATTTTTGTCCAAACTGTCCTGATTTTGACTTAGATTTAAAGACAGATGTTTCCATAACTTACCTTTGTGAAGTCTTTTGCTACTATGACTCAAAAACTTCTCTGTAAATGATGTTTTCAACGTTTTTTTGCACGAGTTAACACAACAAAGTCTCACCTTTGCAGCCGCTGATGACCAGTCCCAGCTCCGCACACACACTCGCACAAGTCACCTCACAGTCGTGTCCGGTTAAGATGGCCCGTGGAGTGGTGAATTCTGCTAGGATGACACAAACACAACAGTTATGTACTGTAGTCCTGAGAGCAGCATCAGTGCTGTGAAGTACCACTATTGACCACTAGAGGGAGTGCTTGATTTTCTGAGAGTCCTTCATGACGGCATCAGTCAGTACTGATAAAAAGACAAACTTAAACAGAAAATGGTCATTAAGTCACATTAAAAAAGAAAAAACAACAAAACTATTGATACTCATTAACAACAAGTGGTGATATAAATTGAAAACACCAGCAATAGTCTTTTCATTTTCAGCATATAACAAATTTTCATTACAAATTTATGTGTTTATGTCCCTTTGCTCTCTGCAGAAACTCCCGCCAACCAATTCTTTCGCTCTCTGAAGCACTTGTCACTCTCTGTCTCACTCTGTCTGCCTTCACTGGATCCAGATGTTTCTGCACTACAGGCAGACAGGGAAAGCCAGCTCATGCCGTTTGTGTGATTTTGTTTTGGTTTGAGCTGTCAGGCGAGCGACAAAACAAAATCCCTTTTTTACTTCCTCATCTGTCTCCTCCGTCTACCGATGAAAAATGCATTAAATACTCTTTTGAGGATACAGACGGAAAAATTGGAAGTAAAGATGTACTTGTTCTTTCGTGTGGATGAACGCAGCTGTGTTGTAAAACAGGCTTTTAAAGGTCAGCAGGGCTTGTCCGTGTTTGCTAACATAGTCACCAGCAGTTCGGACAAAACTCTTGAACTTTAGTGTGGCGTTTGTTCGGGGTTTAGTGTCTCAGGGAGGGGGTCCTGCCTTTACTGACCTCGTCTGATTTGTAGTCGCATGTCAAGTTCAACCAAAAAAAAAGTGTCACAGGGCAATGCTGGTTAAGTTTAAATGCTCAAACGTGCTATTTTCATGAGAGCATTTGAGTTTCAACCTGGGACAACTATGATTTAATTCAATCTGTTTTCAAATGTGTTTTACTTTACATAAATGTGGTGAAAACTCCCATGTTTTGTGATGTACTTCTGACATAGACTCGTTGTTTATTGCTGATTTGGCCAAATTATTTCCAGTCCAAATATCTGCTTTCTCGCTTTAATCCAGTTAAATGTCATAAAACTCAATACAGGTTCACTAATAAGGCAGAAACCCTCCCTAGGAAAACAAGGCTACTGTAAACCGTAATTAGATTCTGGAAAGAGACTCCATACAGACTTTGAGGCCTCTCATAAAAGAAGATTAAAAAAAGGAAATGTACATTAAAATAGATTTAAAAGATTACACTGTTATAGCAGAAATTTATACCACATAAAAGAACAATTCATGACTAAATTTGCACTTTTTAGTCCCATCAGTCGCTTATTTTACACAACTATCTCTTCAGCCAGCTTTGCAAATACCTACCAGCTGCCTAAACTCTGCTCATAGACCAGAGCGGCAGCTTTAACATCTACATTTCACTCTGTTAACTTTCCAACATCCTCTTATGCAAACTTATGACCTACAA